GCGAAAGTTGACGTGGACATTTGACAACACCCACTCGCATACAAGCGTTTAGAAACATGGGTTTGGACACTATGATGCCGACTTGTGTCGAGTGACTAGTGTAGTCCCTACATACACAGATACATTAATTGATATTTTATTTTCAAATGAGGATAGTTTTGTCCGAATGAGGGATAAAGATAGTGCCCGTAATCAATGGTTTGAGTATCACTGTTACTGGGTTTAACTTAGCATTTTGTTACACCTCAAAATGAACGGAACAAATGCCTAAAACTAACAATCTGCAAAAGATTGGAATATATGCTTAACATATATCCAATTACCCAACAATAGTGAAACTCCTTTCTGGTGTGAAGAATATCCATTTGTAAATGTAAGTAAAATCCAAGCAGTCAGCCGAGGAGAACAATACAAACCGCCAATTAATAGAATCAAAAGTAATTTCCCCGGTAAGGTTCTTTGAAAAACGTGTTTTCTTCGCTTCTGTATTGTTTGCAAATTCTGATGCAATTCTGATGCAAGCGTCTTGCGATTGGTTAGCATTGAACTTTGAGGTTATGTTCGGAACAAAGCCGGGTCAATTCCCGCTATCGCGGATCTCTGGGTTGACCTTCGGCTCGCAGCTGCGGCCAGTCGCAATAATCGGTTGCAGACTGTATAAAATCAACGTTATATGTTGGCGGACCGCTGCGAATGATTCAGATTACCGTTCTTTTAGTGGCCGTTTCAAAATCTTATTTATCTGAACAAACCACGATGCAGGTGCAAGCATACCTTTTAAAATCAAAGCAAGGATCTTTTAATCTTACGTTTTTCTAATTGGAAAACTTGTTATTTTTCACGATCGAATTAGAGGTCTCTTGACCAAGATTGACGTGATTCAGAACGTCCATCTAGAATAAATTTAACTTTTGCATTACCTGTTAAATTCCCAGTGGAAATGGGGAACATAGAATATTTGTCCTTCAGTACTTTTAAGACTTCTTGAAACACTACTTGTACAGTATAGGTAAAATCAATAATCTTAGTTTTTAAAATCATTCTAATGAAGATGGCCCAAAAATGGCATTGAACCATTCTTCGGGTTTAGCGCCGTGTCCATCATCCTCCCACCGGTAGTGTAACGACGGCGACGCCGGAGTCCGCCACGGTGGCGTCACGACGTCACACCCCGCTGGTCCTGGGAAGCAGATTTGCCACGGGGAGCGGAAATAGCCCATCATCCCTGGGGCGTGGAGACATCTGCGGAGTCAGGGACCTTGCCGCTGCCGCACCTGGTGGAGTCTGTAAGTGTATGGAAGGAAAGGGGAGTTGAAACCCCCAAAGATTGGTTTGCAAAAATGTCCAAGAAATTGGTGAGGGTCGAGGGTACGTAAGCTTGAGGTTCATTGATTTGAACTTGATAAAAAATGAAAGAGGGATTTAAACGACAGGGAATTGAGGGATCTGTATAAATTGTGTGTACCGGTAGTTAGCTGAAAGCAGGAAAAGGCAAGACTTGAAGATGTTACAGTTATAGACAGCGTAGAATTAATTGCAAATAATCTGAAGAAATCTTGCGTGTATAGAAGGAAAGCCAGAAATTAAAGACGTATTATAATGAAAGACGTAGATGGCAGTGTCAAAGAAATTGAAGCAAAAGAACTTATTGCCTTGAGGAGGTGAACGGCAATTATATGGCGTTTTAGCAATGCTGTAATAGCACAAAACTCATAAGTTACAAATTCTTGTTAGCCTATCCAATATTTACTGAGGTTTGACATATTGATACTACGGTTATTGTGTGTGTGGTAATTATTGTAGGTATTATTTCAAAAAATTCTTTCAGATTTCACAATTTTCGCACATCGCTCTTAATTTACCGGCGATCAATGCCTACTCTCTTGTGGTGATTCGTCAATTATCAGTCAGAAACTCGTTTTTTAATTGACAAGCGAAACTTGCCGCGTTCTGATGCAGGTGAAAAACTGTAATTACGCCAAACTTGTTCTCTCTCGCTGTCGCACGTTGTATTCCTCGATCGCGAGACTTTGGCGAGACCAAGCAAAAGTGGTTCCGTCCTTTTTGGCAAAGATAAGCAACTCGTTCTTTTACTTTCTACAAACGTTCGAAGAGAGCCCATTGACCTTGATCTGGTGTCACTCGCAGTCTGACTTGCCTTGTTTGTGAAAGGATTACCTACAATGGAAATATATCTTGGTTTTTGGTTTTTTATAAGTGTGATATTTTTTATAGTTACTATGGGTTGTATGTAGTAACGAGTGAGCAAACTTACAATATAAGTAGAAAGTGTTTGATACCTGAAATGTTGCACTAAAACGCTTGGTGACAAAAATCCCCGCAGAAAAAGTTAAGAGTCCTTGGAGGCTAGCGACCATCTTGAATAATTTCAAACAGTTGCTGAAGAGTTAATATTCATCCAAAAATAGTTGTTCAATCACCAAAGGGATTTTAATTAAATATCTTGTATACTATGAGATTAAAAATTGTCTTTGTTGTTTTGAATTGATTTCCAAGGGAGTTCATGAAAGCCAACGGCCATCTTGGATTTGCCCACCATAGGAACAATGTCAATTTCGTTATTTTTAAACAGCCGCTGAAGAGTTATTTACCACCTCAAAACATTTGTTCAAATACTAAAGTGGTTGTAATACCTAGTATACTGAAATAAAAAAAATTGCATTGTATTTTTTAAAATTGTTTTATGAGTTAAAATGTCTAGGCTCCAAGGACTCTTGATGCCTCCAGATCTATCCAACCACACAGCTAAAACCATTTAACTTTACCTACATCATATCTTATCTATCACGTAAAAAACTACTTAACATAATTCATAAAAACCGCACCTACTTTAGTCATTTCATTACGTCGATGTGTTATCTATTCACATTACACCCCGGGGAAAAACTATCAACTATATTATTCTCGTAATCATGAATAATGTATTTTCCGTTACTTTATTAGATTATGGAGTTTTCCACCATATCTAACCTTGTAATTTGCAATTTGCCGCCCGTATCATTCAATGTCGGACGTATCCGCTAGTGACTGGCAACTACCGCCAAGGGCACCGGGTGCCCGCCTAACCTATGACCTTGCATTCCTCTATGCAAATGTGCCTGCACCGCATTGCTCTATGGCGCGGGCGTGCCGCTTATCAGCTGATTACATTTAACCTTTTCCTCTGATCTGTTTGCATTGTTCTACTACCAAGATATCAAAGCAGCCGCGATGCTCTTTGTTAACAAGTTTGCCTTTTTTCTTGACGGATTTGGCTTTGTATCCTGGAAACACTTAGGGTGTTGCTTGGTTTATTCTTTCCATTAAGCTTAGGCCTTTTCTTCTTCAAACGTGGCTGCGAGAAAAGAGTATTTACATTTAAATGTTGGGTTTACTATACACTTCCTGTAGATTAAGTAAAATCAATATTACATTCATCTTCCAAACTGGAGTATCATTCTGTCCAATCTCATAACGGCCAAAGATCGGCTAAATAATATAATAACGGGTTCATAATGTCCTAATAATAGAACAGTCCTATTTTATAATTTCCCAATACAAAGTTAATAGAGTGGATTGAAAAAACATCAACCCTTACATCATGTAAATGTCCTTTATAGCAGAGAAGTGTTTTACTATCCAATGTCCTTAGCTTGGGAACCGGTCCGACGGGTAACCCAGTAGCTTGTTTTGGCTTCTGAGTTTTTTTCTCTAATTTGAGAGGGCAAATCATGAACTAGGACCACCTGCTTAGCTTCTCTTATTAATTCGGGTTTATGCAGATACAGAGAAGAGAGGGCCCAGCTCAAATTACTTATAGGGTTTTTACACAGTGTTTAGAAAGCGGAAAAATCAAATACCACTAGTTTACTTGTAGTTATTTGATACTGTCTTCCGCGTTGCACGTGTAAAATAGTTTGATGTTTTAAATAAAAACATTTCAATACTTCTTAAGAAGTTAATTTACAATCTTCGAAACTTATTTCAGTGTCTGTAAGGTTAAAATACGATTTCTATTATATCTACGATGTTTTCATAAAATAACACGTGTCAACAACGTGCTTATTCGTTTTAAACGCAAGATGAACTGGATGCTCTAAAGAATATTTTTAGTATTTAGTAAAGGTTATCCTGTATCCATTTTCCATTATACATTGAACCCAATTCACGCTCTGAAGCTCCCCGATTCGTAAACTTGAAAGAACGATTTTACATCTCTATTTAGATTGCTCACTTAATGCTACTCTAAAACATCAAATGTATAGATGCAAGTCACAATACGGCCCATTTCACTGCTAAGTGTTCCATAAACTTTAAGTGCTTTAATCTTTATGTGGGTGCTGTAGCATTGAGCAATCACGCAAATAGAAGCTACACATTTACCTAGGCTCCTAAATCATTTAGAGGAAAGATAAAACACCGTTAAGCTTTTATATGGGGACTTTATGTTGGGATCAAGTGTTTTATTCAACCTATAAACTATTTCCAGACCACTACTATTGGGTGGTGGTCATTTTGTAGCAGTAGTTACGTTTTGTGTAGGATCGGGTTTTTATTGTTGGATTTTGAACAAATTTATGTTCTCGTCCGTGTTATAACCTTTAATTTGAATAAATGTGGGAGGAGAGTAGAATTAATGAAGTTTGTGTTCATTGGTGAATGGAGAAATGTAATATGTGTAGCTTCAACACTGACTTACTGAGTAAAATTTTGCTTTTCTTAAAGGATCAACTATAAAAGGCAGCTGGATTAAGTTTTTAACTACCAAAATGTTACTGAATATTCTCGGGATCTTACCAGCAACCTTTCTGATTGTTAGGTCATACAATGATTTTAAGCACAGACCACAGGGAATAAGTTAACTAATAATAATAAGTCTAGTTATAATTTTGTAATTTAACCTACTAGTACTAACACCTCATTGCATTCTAATACAAAAAAATATTGATAAGATCTTTATTGTAGAGTCTGTCAAATCTCACAATCAATTGTTGTTCCAGAGGCAAGTACGCCACCGTGCGGAGGTGCCGGGATCGCCGCAGCGGTCGCCAGTATGCGGCCAAGTTCCTCCGCAAGAGGCGCCGCTCGGCCGACCTGCGACCGGAGATCCTACACGAGGTCGCCGTCCTGGAGGCTTGCAAGAACTCTCCCAGGATAGTCAGACTACATGAGGTCTTCGAGTCTACCAATGAGATGGTGCTGCTCCTTGAACTGTAAGTGTCGGCACTGATTGTTTTGGATGATAAAGTAGAAATAAAAAATAAAAAAAATAGAAATAAATGATAAAGTAAATCTTTATGAAGCTGTAATCAATTTGTATAAAAATGTACAATTTTTTTTTGAATGAGCTACTCATAGTACTCAATAAGTAGTTGCAAAATTTGTGAAATTTACCTAATGTTATAAAAATATATCCATTTAGCTGCGGTTTAGTTTATTTCCCATAAACTAAACCACAATGGTAGACAACGTTCTTGCTGTATAACTCTTTACTGTATTTTGGTACCCATTAGGCATTGAATAATATCTAATGATAACATGTAAAATCCTATAAATGAACTGATTGTCATTCATTGAAGTTTTTGTATTTTATTTTGTCCAGTGGTCAATGATGTGTCTGAGATTTAACTAGCCTATGTTGTTTGTACACATTTAACATAATTTTGAAAATAAATTTAAAGCCAATTGTATGGATAACATTACACCTTATGGATATAAAATACAAGTCTACTTTTCTCCACGTGAGTGATTTTCTTTGTAAAAAATATCTTCTAGCAATTAAATTTCATTTTACCACCTCAATGTATTTGAGAACAGATATTCTAAAATCTTTTACTCTTTCAGTGCTCGCGGTGGAGAACTCCAGATGCTGTTAGACAAAGACGAAGTTCCAAGTGAGCGAGAAGTCGTGAGATTGATGAGGCAAATCCTTGATGGACTCGTCTATCTGCATGACATCAACGTAGCGCATCTTGATATCAAGGTAGAGTATTTTGAATTTTTACAAAACTAGAACTTCACCTTTTTTATAATTCTCGCACTCTACATAATACATCAAGGTTGCACCTCTCAGTAGCTAGGTAAAATTGTTTAAATGTTCTTGGAAAAAGAAATTCTTTTATTTTCTAATCTTTTGAGTCTAAGGTGTTAAAGTTATCAAGGTAAGTTATAATCTTCCTGCAGCTCTGCAAATTCAAAAATAAAACTTGAATGATCAAACATTGTTAGCTGAGTATACCCATGATAGGTGAGGGTAAACATGTAAATGTGATCTTTATGAACTTCTGGGGGCTTTGGGCTTTTGATACTTTAAGCACAGTATAGTAGTAGCTATGGCTATTGGAATCAAAGGAACAATCAAAAGATGGTTTCTTGTTAACCTAAAAAACTTATATGAATCTCGCTTGACAAATTATGTGTTTTAAATAAAAGTTATGCATCATGGATTTCAGTAGTTTTACTACGTTGGACTTTTGGCTACATAGTAGACATCCCAACTATATGGACCAGCATAGCTAATTTTTCTATTTAAAAATAACTTGGTTGAAAAAATATTTGTGCAATATTAAAATAAAGTCTTTGAATTGATCAAATATTTACTTAATATACAGTGGGTGACAGTATCCAACACTCAAGATATGCAGACAGATGTTTATAAGCCAACAGAAGGGAGTGGGATGGTAGATGGAGGGGGTCATTCACCCCAAACATCCTGCCCAATGTTTCCTGCCCTCTGATTTGTGTCCCAATTGAGAGTTTATGTTAATGTCCAAGCTGACTCATGGTTGACCCTACCCGGCTGTGGTGGGTTTACTGGTTTTACTGTGATCAACAAGACCAAAATCATTTTGTTTGATCAATTTAGAATTCCTGGGTAACTAATAATTTTTGTGAAAATTCCTCTTTAAAACTTTTTAACTTTTGTTTGTTTTTTATGAAGTTGTATCATTATAACGTTATCTGTTTTGTTGCTGCAGCCTCAGAACCTGGTGTTGACCGGAGAGTTCCCGGATTGCGAAGTCAAACTTTGTGACTTTGGGATCTCCCGGTACCTCAGTCAGGGAGCAGACGTACGGGAAATCCTCGGAACTCCCGACTATGTTGGTAAGTTCCGTTCAATTTATATCCTTCAGTAATGGTAAATGTGAAAGTCAAAGTAAATAAGAAGGTAACTTTTGTGTTTATTATGCTGTTGTTAGATAAGCCAGATTATTCCTACGATTGATATTTGCTCAAATCTGCAAAAACCTTTATTATTTGGGATTTTAACTAAAATCTTGGATAAAGATTATTATTGATTGATTCAATCTTTGAAAATGTATTATATTTATTGAAACAAATGATGTTATAGTTCTAGATTAAGTCATCTAATGGTAAACTTTAAATGTGTTTGGACTGATCAAGCGTTTAAAAATAAGTTCAATATGATGTTACAACCAACACAAAGAACAGATTTAATCCTATAAGCCATTAACAACTCTTATAACAGGTTCTTAAATAACATAATCTAAAAAAGAGATCAAACATAATCTAAATTATATTTTATATACAATTAAAAAGTTAATCCATAAGTTATGTTATGGTTATTATACTGGAAGGAAAAATCTTATGAAAACGAGCACATTCATTGCCGCTATTAAAACGAATGTCAAAATGTCCCATCTACAATTCTCGAGCGGCAATACTTTGCGCTCATAATACACAAATAGCAATTTTTTAGGAACAAATTTTAACATTTGATATTTTGTTTCAGCCCCTGAAGTGCTCAACTACGAACCTATCAGCCTGGCTACAGATATGTGGTAAGTTAGACCATTGACTAAAGGTTAGACTGCTTATAAACTGGTCCACCTTAGCGAAAACCATTTTTGTGCTTGTATTTTTTACTATGTCCATCCAATCTATTTTTAAAGTTAAATTATTTCTTTGTACATTGGGGTCAAAACAAAAGAGAGCAAAATTCATTTGTGTTGAAACAATCTAAATTTGGAATAAAATTTGTACAAACACAAAGAGAGGAAAAGTAAATGATAAATTAACGAATCATTAGTGGATTCATGATTTAAACATTCATGATTAGGAAACGTAACTTATGGTTGAAAAGGCAAGAAATAGGATTTGTGAGATTTTCTAAGAAAAAATGCAGCTCATTCAGTAAACTTCATAGAGAGGGAGTAAATGAGTTAATTTCTTTGTTGCTTCCAGGTCGGTTGGAGTGTTAGTTTACGTTTTGCTGACAGGATGTTCTCCCTTCGGAGGCGACGACAAACAAGAAACCTTTCTCAACATTGCGCAATGCCGGCTCGACTTTCCTGATGATCTGTTTGAAGATATTTCCGAGGATGCTAAAGACTTCATGCAGAAGCTTATGGTTAAAAACCCAAGGTATGTGATTATGTTTGTTTTGTTGTTACTGTCAACTTAGTGGCAAACACTTTTGAGATGTCATCATTGAGATTTATGTGAATGACCTTGAGAGAAGATGTTCTTCCATCAAATATGTTGATGATGTTCCTGAGTCTTAAAGGTTGGGTATGAGCTCACTAGCTTAACTGAGGGCTTAACTCTGCGTGAGGGCTGGTAGACAACGTATTTTAAAATAAAATATTAACTTGCTGATATACCTAATATGTTTCATGATGTAAACTTAAAGACATAAAAAAAATTAAGTTTGACAAGATTTGGATTAGTTAAATGTAAAGTCATTGTCCATCTTCTTTAAAGTGTGCAATATACAAACATAAAATATATTTAAACTGATTGTAATCATGAAATTATTTTACAGTAACCGACTGACTGCTAAGAAGTGTCTTCAGCATCCGTGGTTCACTAGACAAGCCTGTGAGTCTTCCATCATCCTCTCTGTGGAAAACAAGCCGACAAAGCCGAGAACGCCAGTACCCAGCAAGAGGCCGATCCCAGCCTGCGAGGAAGCTGCTGACAACAACGAGACAACAGACTTCATACCAGACAACGTTGCTAACACAAAGCCCTGTCAGGAAACAACAGCAGTCAGAGAAAGCTGCACAAGTTTGCCTGCGGCCAAACCATCTGTGGAGGACAACATCAACAAAGGTCTGAGCGCCGAAAGACGTAAATCTTTCAAAGCAAGTATGAACAATTTGGTGCAGAAACTGGATAGTGACGGTGAAGGAAAAGACACAAAGAAGACCGACAGTACAGTTAGAGAAAAACCGAGTGAAGTTAGATTGACAAAAGGCGATAGCTTTAGAAGTATGACACGAGCAAATGGAATGCAGACCATGCCAGTTTCAAGGTTTCTGCGATTCACCAGAAGCAGCAACGAGAGGTCCTTGTTCTCTCACAACTGTGAAGTAGACAGGGAGTCTGTTTATAAATTTAGAAGGGTTTTTATAATCAATGACATGGAAGAACACTCGCCTCCTCCGTCCATCAATGGTTCTCTGAGTTCCGAAAATTCTTCCATCAGCGACTCAAACAGCGATACTATTAGTGAAATGTCAATAGATTCATCGAGTGACAGATCTAGTATAATTTCCCTTGACGACTCCTTTGACTTTCAATTCTCCAAGGGATTAAGTCATAGCCGACACTACTCTTCGTGTTACAACGTGTGGGAAGCGTCCAAGAACCAACGTTCACAGGCAAGGCTCTATCCGAGAGAATGTAGCGGATCCTTCGCGAGGGCTCTGTCTCGGTTTGCTACTCAAACAGAGGACGTCAAGGAAGGTGCATTCATCAAACAACGCAAATCTCTGACTGTTTTTAATGGTGGAAATCCGACAACATCAACACCGTTGAATGGCAAGAAGTGTGTAGGACTCGAGCTCATGCGAGAAAGAAATGGAAATCTAGTAGTGATCAGAGAAGTGGCACATCACATCAATGGCAGTAAGTTCCCCCGCTGTAGTGAAGTCAAGTGTGAATCCGTGCAGTCTAGGATACGCAAGTTACAAGTACAAAACGGACTGAAACATGAACTGTCAAAAGAGCATTACAATGTTTTTTAATTAAATTATTATGTCCAAGACAATCAGCTAAGCATTTTCACAGCCATCCCTTGTGATGTTTTAGGTTAGTGCTCATGACGGTACTAAATTCCTAAATGTTGTAAAATATTTTAAAACTTAGTCCGGTGTTCCACAAGCATGATTATGAATTAATGATCGTTTAAAACATTTCTTTGACCACAGACTTATGTACGGTATCTGATAAGAACCGAAAGTAAATTGGAAAAAAATATTTTATTTCATCTTCATGGCTACTAATATCACTAATATATTATACAGTTTTATGCTCACTTCTGGTATGTTATTTTTCAATGCATAAATATTAGTGCCTTACATGAAATAATATTTTAATACAAACTGGACTCTTTAATACTAGTCATAATTTAAAATTGTATATTTTATACCTGAAATATTGATTTAGGCTTAAGCTAGATTATTGTCCACTACAAGTGCAATCTACTGAAATAGAATACCCTAAATTTGATTACCTCCAAATTAATACCTTACATGAAATTTTGTTTTATTTATCGGCATGTTTACTTAATTGACAGATTCTTTAGTTTCATAGTTTAATTTACTTAAATATTTCAGGGCAACTCTTTGTGAATAATGTACATTATTTTAAGTCATAATATAATGTAAAAAGACTTAGTATTTTACCTTTAACTTTTATTAAATCTTTATTTATATGTTGTTATATGTTTAAGTGCCAATAAAACAATAAATGCATCAATCAAAATAATAACAAAATGCACAAAAATGGTGCAATGTTGTTGACATCTGTGATTATTAGGTAGGATTTTTAATTTATATGAGATTAATTGTACTATTTGTATTCATATTTTTAGTAAAAGGTTCTAATGAACCCACTTACATTGTTTATTATTTTTGTAAATATTTTCAATGTTATTTAATGGTTCAAAATATACAAAACTCAATGAAAAAAATGCTTAAGTAATTTTCCTTTTATGTCTAATTAACATGTTGATCATAATAAGTTAAATCAGAGGTGAAAAACTGACAAATTTTTAACAGATAATATTTTTAATATAAAAAATTCCAATTTATTCAACCTTTATGGTTGGAATGATCACTTAAGCCAAAAAGTGATAAATTCAAAATACTCAGTCACTGACAAAAGCATCCACACCTGTAGGACCATGTTTTAACTTTTTCATCAAAATTTTTCATTGACTTTTTAATTTCCTTGAACCTATGGATTATTTAGTGATTCAATAGGCCTAAGGCTATTTTTTATCACGTTCCCCTCATATGAACACAAAAATCCAAATTATTTGAAAACTGATTATTTTTTAAGGCACAATGAATAAGGATTAACAAAAAGTGGGAAGAATGCTTGATTGGAGATGTAACTCACAAGGAATCAATCCTCTTATTAACTTCCACCTAAGCACTGAGCCATCCACAAATCCACTATCAGTTGATAATTTTCCTCCAACTTTTCTACAAACTGGCGAACTACTCATATTATTTATTAAAATAATTTTGAAGCTGCTGATTATTCTAAAAATATCAAACATCATCCATACAGTTTTATTGTCTTCAAAATAAAAAATAAATCCCTGTTATCTGTTTGGCGGCCTCCTTTTAATTCTTCACCACACCAGTTAGGTAAATTAATTACAAATAGTCTTAATCAATTTTGAAAAATATTTGTTGTAAATTATGAGGCAGGTTCATGTACTTCAAACTTAAATATCTATACTTATACGATACACAAGCAGGTTTTTGTGGCAATTTCTCTTCCGAAACTACTGAACCAATTGACATGTTTTTGGTGTCATTGGAAAGAGCGTAATGTGAAGTTGTGCAGGTAACTAGTTGTGCTTGATAACGTAAATGCAGCCTTATTGAATGCACATAAAAGGGAATTCATTCCAACAAAAATGGGTGGCTAAAGTTATTTTGAAATATTTATTTATTTGGTTAACAATATGAATTTAAAATAGGGTTAAACTAAAAATAAGTTCGGTTTGGCTTTCTTTTCCATAGCAAATTTATGAGATAAAAAGTGAAAACTTGTGTTTGTTCATTGTCTTATCCAATCAAGGAAAGACAATAGGGAATATTAGCGAATTTCCCATACAGGGAATAAGCTAATACCGTAGCCTCGGAGGTCTCATGGTAAGTCCTAAACGCGGAAACCGATTTACTTTTTAGAAATTTTCTTAGTCTTCAGTTTTGCTGTGACGGTGGTATATTTTATTATAACATGGGATAGTTCTTTTTCTTAGCCTATTATTTTGATGTTTTATATTACTTTTTTATGTAAACTTAAGACAAATATTTATAACTCCTTGATTGATGACATCATGTGCAGAGCTTATCAGCCATGCTAAGCAGCAAGCCCCTGTGAATTTTGTTGGACGGAGTTCGAGGAATTGTCTCAATCTCATGAACCTCTAGACTAACTGCACCTCCGGTTTGTTCTGGAAACATTCAGAACACTAATAATAATTTTGAAACTAAAGTAGTAGAAAATAATTTACATTACATAAAATCACAATTAGTTGTCACAGTTTGTTCATTAATTTATTGCTATAGGTAAAATATATTTTTTTAATATAAAATTGATATTTTTCATTCATAAGCGTGGTAATTTAATATTAAAGGTAACACTTTCAAGCTAAGTTTATTAATCCATCGTAAAAAAATAGTGGTAATAAGACACAAACCTGAGAGATACTCTGATATTTCTGTTCCTGAGGCTTGACAGCCTGACTTGACCATAATGAAGACAATCAGTTTGTAAGAGTCAGACTTCGGGTCGGGTTTAGCTACAACTGCAGCATCTATCACTTTAGAGTGGGTCTTTAGCAGGTCTTCCATCTCAGATATTGAAACCTGAAAGGTAGAATTATATTTAGCAATTGTGAAAAAACATTTGTTTGGCGTAGAAAATAATATTTTAACAATAAGACTGGCTACATAAATCCAGTGTTTCTAATCGGAGCTAGCTTATACAGGGGCTGGCTCACGTTGAACATATGATTCCACTGCCATGTTGCCATGTTTCTGTGACGTCACAACGACACAGGGGTCGGCTTGGATACATACCACACATTTGCATGTACAGTTGACTCCCTCTTATCCGGACACCTTTTAACCGGACATCGGTTTAACCGGACTGCACTCGGGGGAAATGACATCTCTTTAACCGGACAAGTTTTATCAGCACATCGGTGTAACCGGACTAGATCGGCAGAAAAAGGGCGGTACTGAAATAGCTGTTCTCGTGGAAATGACCAGTGATCACATGTCTAAATAGAATGATCTCCTAAATTTAAGTCAAATACTGTATACAGTATGCATTTAAACGGTCCGTTTTATTGAGTTTTTGGGGACGTCGGTTTAACCGGAAAAACCGTTATCCGGACTGGCCTCGGTCCCGAGGAGTCCGGATAAGAGGGAGTCTACTGTATTCCAACTTACGCCCTCTTAATACAGTGTATGTTCTTTGTAAAATGTAAGTATGATTGTGAATAATTGAGTGCAGAAATACATGGGAAATTACATGTAAAGTCAGGGGATAAAAGTTGGAGCTGTTTTCATGGATAAAAATATTATCAAGATATGAATGATCACTTAACAAAAGTATAAAATGAATGTAATATATAGATGAATGCCACAGTAAAAAGTATCAAAACAAATTTCAAATTAAATTTAAAAAAAACTACAAAATATTGATGTGAACATTTCACTTGCATTTCATTTTTCAGACTCTAAACAAAAGAGGGCCTCGATTAGTTATCAAAGGCTGGCTGCTTTTGTAGAGGGGAGAGAAGATTCCTCAGGACACTCTAATTAAGGAGATCTACAAGTTTATTACACATTCAGACATTAGGTGAAGTTTTTAGTCTTTTCAAAGGGTTCAGTTCAGCCCGAGGGACTGACAAACTTCCGCCTGTAAGGTCACCCCCAATGATGATAATGATATGTACCAAAAACTTTGTTTTTACCAAGTTTTATAAAATGAATGTATAAAATATTTTACTATAGTACATCATGATAGTGCTAACTTGAAAATAATTCTGTGTTCTTTGACTCTTTCTATTTACCAGCAAAAGGCAAATTCTTTAATGAGGAGTCTGAAATGGAAACAGGCAATCAATTTTATTTGACTCTGGGACCTATGCACTTAATCCTTTTTCTATTACAAACCTTGGAAGCTCCCTGGGTTATAATATCGCTCACTCTTCCAGAAATATAAAGGAAACCTTCGTTATCAAAATAACCAGCATCTCCAGTCTTGAAGAATCCGTCAGAGTCAAACAACAGAGGATTTAGATCAGGTTGTCCCCAGTAGCCCAGCATTGTAGAAAGAGACCGAGTCCTTACTTCCCCTACGCTTCCTGGTTCTACTAGGTGGCCTTCTTCATCTGTAATCTGTTTTCACAACGTATAAAACGCCATTAGCAGAAATATAAAAATGAGTATGAACTTCACATTTGGAATTAGAAACTAAAAGCAAGACAACTATTAACTGTTAACCCTACCTTCACTTCCACTCCAGGAGCTAAGTAGCCTGAAGAGTCGGCTTTGGAAAGATCTAGTAGATTGTGTTTGTTCCATGTTGTAATGATTCCAATTTCTGTCATCCCGTACAAGACTTGCACCCCGATCCTACCCTTCAAAACTTGTGAATTAAAATTTTCAATCGTCTTCTTTCTTACAACAGCTCCTCCTACAAATTCCAAAGTCATCATTGAAAATAATTTAAAATACATTCAGAAGTAACTTAGGAAAAATGTAACATAACTCTTTAAACCCCAAAGTTGATGTATCGTACACGAGGAACCTTCACCTATTACACTATTTATGTGGGCAAAACTCAGCAAAAATGGCTGATAGCTGTTCCTGATATCATTGACTTTATATCTACACCTGTAGATATAAATTTATATCCACAGGTGCAGATATAAAGTCAATGATATAAAGTCAAAGTCAAAAAGTCAATGCTGATATGCTGCAACCTTTTCTCCTAGGCACCTTAGATAGAAAGATCTAACCCTGTCAACCAAAGTCAAGTAAGGTGTGCTTCTCATGAGAAACCTGACTAGGCATAACTTAATGGGCAGGGCCGGCTCAAGGACCATGCGGAACATAAAGGCGTGAAACATCGGCTTCATCCGGCATCATATGGCAAAGGCGTGGTGGGCGTTGGCGGTGGAGAATCTTCCTTTAGTTTGAATGAGCCTCCTGAAAGAAGACCATCTTGAGGAAAAATAGAAACACCAACATAATTAAATCTAAGGCTTACCTTACGATCCAATTTATACAAATTATTTTTCTCAATATAAATTGGATTGTTAGGTAAGCCTTAGATTTAATTATGTTCAACAACGATCCAGAGGCTATATCTCCAAAAGAAACACCAAATTTCTTATTGTCACTTTTTGTGGTTAAACAAGACTACCTACACTGGTATAGGGAACCATCCTTTTCCGAATTGCCGCTTTTTGGTCTCAATTAAAAATTTGCCCCCCTAAAGAAGCAACCGCCCTTTTCGGGAACCAAAAGAACGCCCCATCTCTTTTTATTTTTAAGATTTTACAGCCCGTACCGCCATTTTTTTATATTTGCCGCTCTCAAATATATATGTGTGGTTTTGTAGCCTTCACACCTGACTCAACTGATGATCCACTAGAAATCAATCAAAAAAATAGCACAAATGCAGCTCTGAATGGGAGTGTGTCATTGCCTAATTTCAAAGGAAACGTAGCAAATGTATTTCACCTGGGAATTTAATGTTAGACCATCCCACATTTTCACAACAACATCAGAATCATCATGGTGGTCAAATGCATTGCTCTCTTGAGATAACCAAACGACGTGATTATCTCCCGCGATCACCGCAACATCATGACTGTCTCACAAGATCATAATGGTCGTAATCATATTCTTGCTTTTTTATTAGTTTTTTTTCTGTATTAATTAATACTCTCATTCAAAATACAATAACATATTCACTTATGCTAGTTTGACTACAACATTTTTATTTGCTCACCAACATTTATCACTGTTAGTGATGAGAGGTCCACTGAAGATAGCGTGGGTTCCTTGACATAAAGATTCATACTGCTGGAAGATACAGTCCATCCATTGACCTAATGTAATAGAATTGTTAATTCTAGAGGAATTAAATAGTAGTGCAATTATCATATATTTAACAACTTCTTTACAACATCAATGAATTTTTTATTTAGCTCCATAAACCCCACATTTTCTGGATCTCCTGCTTTGCTTAACCACTTAAGGGAGTAAACCAAAGATATGGAGAGACACTCTCCACTCCTTAATTTACCACTAAAGATAGGTGTTTAAAATTACTCGGCCCTATAGCTATTGATATTTCCTATGAAGAGTTAATCATCTCTGAATATAATAGTTACACTTGTCAACTAACAGTTTTGGCTTTGGAAGGTAAAACATTTAACAACGTATCGTTGCCAAACCGCAAACGAATATTTTACGGGAAACTCGTAAACATGTAATCAAAGACAATGACTATCCTTAAAAAAAGCAATCTATAGCTTTCGTTTTATTCATAAAATAAATACCGGTGGGTATTTAATATACAACTCGTGCTATTACCACTTTTACAAAAATGCTTGCAAAACGTTCGATATCGATATTTCGGACGTTGGGTCTATTGACCTGAAACCCCTCAAATACCTTTTTTGGGGAGGGTGCAAAAATTAAAATCTCGCCCCGGGCGTCCTATTACCCTCAGGGCGGCCCTGAGTTTTGGAACTTGTTTCATTGAATGTGTTAAGTCACATACCAAGAGAACTAACCTCTCGACATACGTGTAGGAAATTCTAAGCCCTCATTTACGCTAAAGTATCAAATTCTGAGAGAAATTAATGTTTGGTTAGCCGTAACTCGCTAACAAATCATTTCCCCATGTTCATGTTAATACAGGGTGAGGCTGACCAGCCGTACGATACTATTACGGGAGTATGTTTTCACTTAGAGGCGTGAAATAAAATTATTCCCCCCTAAAGCACAATCCATTTAAAATACTTAGAACATGATCCAAGCACAGGGTTTTCCAGAACTGAAGGTCACAGGTTCGAATGTCGAAATTTCCTTGTGTTAACATATATCTCATTGTACATTTTTATAAAGGTCTTGTATAGAGCAACATTTTGATGAAAACAGAACTTAAGATAACCAACTTTCCACTTTCACCTAATGTATATTTCTTTCAGTATTTGAGTAATAAACCAAAAACTACATTTTCCCATATAAAATTCATGTTACTTTCAAAAGCCTAAAACAACTAATGAAAAAAAAATATTGTGTTAATGTCCCTCCTGCTGAAAGTTTTTAATTTTTTTTTTATAACTATAAATGTTTTTATGCTTACTTTATATTTTTCAATGGTTTTGAACTGAGAGGCAGGATCCTTTGCTTCACTGAGGACAAGACAGTATCCTTTGAGCAGGCTGGACACCAAGGACATAGTGCAGCTGATCCATGAGAATGGACTTGTCAGTAAATAAGACTCAACAAATTCATCACCCAAGCTGAAAGTGAGTAAATCTGTTAAATCATAAATTTTTTCAATGGTGCTTTCTTGGAGAGAATTTTCTGAAAATCACAGGTACAATGTTTTAATCATTGAGTAGAAAAATGGTAGAAAGTTACATGTTTGTTTTCATTTTGTGTCCATTCGATTGAACAATGCACGAGAACAAAACTATTATCAGTATATGGTTTTCAGTTGAAGGGATTCTCCAACACAATGAAAATTGTCCTATCCTGACAGACGAGTACTTATTTGTTTCCTTGACGGATGGAACTAGTTAAGATGGCTTGTATCAGAACTGGAATCAGAGTCAAAAATATGTATTCATATTGTAAATACATACACAAATAGTGTCAAATGGCCAGACTACCATCACTGTATCACTGGGTCATTCAATCTCATATATAAAAGACTGTGTGATTTGTGCGAGGTGAACCCAGCCTTAAGGAACAGGAGACCTGTGCTCCAACAATAAGACCATGGAGCTGGTCTAGTGGTAGAGTGGTCCTGAGGTCCTTGGTTAAAATCCCGCCAATTCATCAATGGATTTTATCTAAGTTATAAATCTGGCACACATTTGTTCATAAACTACATTTTTAGAGTCTTTAAAGATGTTATGTAAGCTATTTGACATGCTTGTCCAGGTGAAAAGGATGTTTCCAAATTTTACACATGATACTCTTAAAATTAAGTATGTACCAGTAGTCTATTAGAGAAGTGTTAAGAATCAACTCAATCAAAGAAGTAAGATTCAACTGAATACTTACGAGTATGCAAGTCGCTGGAGACCCAAATCTGTTATCTGAACCCCCTTAGGACTTGATGTGGTTCCACTGGTAAACAACACCAAAACTACCTTCTTTTTGATATCGGTTACTTCGTAAACTGAAAATGTATCACTGGACAAAAGTATTTTTTTCATAGTGGTGCCATTGACATCCATTGCGGCAACCAAAATTGGTTTTGGATTAATTTCTGTTATTGATTGATTTACTAGATGTATCTCTGTCTTGTCACAGAAAATTGCTTTAATGTTTTGTTTTGAGATGTACTTGTGAATCTCACTGGCAGCTGAAAACATAATAATTAGCTGCAGTTTTTGCTATTAAATTAGATGTCATTGAGAAAGGCTCTTGATTTTTCGGGAATGTTATTATTTTAAATTAATCTAATTAAATTAGAAATGAAATCAGGGTCAGATTTAGTTTTTGTTCTAAGCTGTTGAAGGTAATTAATTTTACCTATTATTTTTGTTTGTTTCTTCCTGTATTTTGTTGTTGCTATAATTATTTGTAACGTCCCACCTTTTTACACTAAACCTTTGAGCAGTAGGCATGAATCTAAAAGGCCTTGTGGAAAATTTGGCCCTCGGTGGAGTTATAATATTTTTTTATGAGGAATATCTTTTGGGGTTTGAATTTGGGAGTACAGAGAAACTATTATTAAAATTTGGCAAAAAAGGAACACTCTATCTTTAAATTATCCTGTACAAGGCTCTGAGTGCAAAACTGTTAGAATGTTCAAAGTTAAACAATAAGTACTAGTGACGAGTTTTCCCTTAGCTCGTGTAAGAGGAATCACCAGAAACCAACCAATAACTTTGTAGTTTGGGTCCCTAACAATTAAATTTAACTCACATTTCACATCAACCAAGACTGGAATGGCCCCAGTAAACATGACACCCAGTTCAACGGCAAAGGCGAGACAACTTTTTCTGCAACAAAGCACAACATAGTCTCCTGGAGAGATGCCAGTTTGTCTGAGTCCTGTGGAGATTGCCTTGCTTTGCGCAAGGATATCAGCAAAAGTGAATGTCTTGCCTGTAGAATCTTCAATCTGTAAGATTGAGATACAATGTAGGCCTATAGACGTCTGTTATGCTGAATAAAAATGAGTATATGTAAAATGTCTTATTAAGATGGCTCACACCAACTTCCTGACAACACTAAAGACAAACTGATAACTAAAGCCAAACGGCTTGCAACGATTTTAAAATATTTCTGAGACGAGCCAACTACTATGTACAGCTACAAACAACTACTAAACAACTTTAACAAACAATAATGACCAAAGATTAAGTACATAATGAACAGTAAAAAAGTAAAAGTAATATAATTGTTTATTCCATTAAATCTGAACAGATATTTTTGAAAGTTTAAGGAGAAAATATAACAAGTGATCAAGCACTATGACAGACAATAAAATCGCAATCAAAATAAAAATAGTTAAGACAATTAATACACCCACCTCTCCCCATGTTACATTGTTTTTGTTGGTTATTTGTTTGTGCATATTATAAAAGTCAAATACCACTGACATTGATCACTGTACCTCAAAAACTACTATAACCATAGGAACTCAGGAATTGGCATGGAGATTGTAATTAAGCTCTAGATGTGCAATGAGAAGCGTTTTCAAGAAATTCCATCAGGGCTCTGTCCAGGTGGCCTCTAAAGTTCCCATGTTATCCTACTGGCGTCTCATTTTCCTCTTCCAGGAACTGATGAGAACCTTTTCTGCGAAGGAGTGGGGGATTGTGGGAGAAACCCTCACGTCAATTTGAAAATCTTTAAATTTATTAAAATTTTTAGTTATAAAATTAACGTTTTAATTATAAAATTAATTTTTTTATCATAAAATTAATTTAAACATTTTTTATTATAAAATTACAGTAGAGTCCCGCAAACTCGGGAAATTTAAATTTATTGAAATTTTTAGTTATAAAATTAACGTTTTAATTATACAATTAATTTTTTAATCATAAAATTATTTTAAAATTTTTTATTATTAAATTACTGTATCTGATAAAAAGATAGGGCATTTGCCAGGAATTATTAAGGAAATTGACAAGAAAGCAGGCTTACCTTTAAATAAGTCCATAGAGACACATAAAATTAAATATAAATAAAACATCATGCAAGGTGTTTATCGTTTATGTTACCGTACTTTAAGATGCATACAACTTTCCAATAAAGTTATGGGATATCTGACAGTACTACTATTGGAAAATCAGGTTTAAGCATGTGATCCTACGTGACGTGCAATGATGAGATACAGCGGGAATTGTTTTCTGGCCAAAAATATTATATAGATGTAGATGGTTTCAGAGTGAGTAGTCCGAAGCTCCTGATGGACAGTTAGTGTTGTAAATTAAGAAGTTCTCTCTTAGTTTAACTTAAGTAGACACATTATTATGTTTAACCTTTGACTATTAATCCAGTCAATGGTTTAACTTAACATTTCATGAGCAAAGTAATGACAGGTTAAGCTAGTTAGTAGTTTGTGCAAATAACTTATAGTTGGTTCTGTAAATATTATTACTTGGTGTTATTTCTGTAAATACTGAAGTGTAATATTCACTTTTTATGAGTTATATAATTACTCACTAGTTCATTAGTTTAATCCTAAACATGTAAATTTGTGAAATATCTATTATTCAAGTACATCTAGGTATGTACAGTTTCATATCTATGTCAGTTTTATATCTATGTACAGTTTCAATAAATTATGGTTGGTATTAATTCCACTGTACATCACAGACTTTGTTGATACACACACTCCAACACATGTGCTTCTCTCAACAGAGGTGTGTACCACCTGGTACTAAGCAATGAATATTAAGTTTTATATTCATTGTACTACAACCTGTCAAATGAAACCTACTGAACTTTAAGTAAGATTTTTCAGATTCAGTTAGGGGATGACATAAGTCTGAATTACTTAAACTCCTTCAGCTCAGGCGGTATGAGCGAGAGTCTACAGTAATATCAATTACCTAATTAATGCATTTGATAAAGAATGAGGAAATCTGGGAACAATCGATCAATTATAATATTAAATTAAATATATTGTGCTAGATTTGTTGACGTGAAAATGTATCAACTAATTTAGACTAATAAAATGGTGCCAGTTCGTAGGTAACATTCTACTCTGTTATTTTAAAGGCAGAGTTCTTGGAGGGGCGATATATCGATCAACACTAACGTGTGCATAACATCAAACTTCTATACCTACTTTATTTCTCCACAGAAATTAATCCTAAGTGATCTTCACTTCAGAAAATATTTGTAATAGTTATATTCCTTTTAAGGGATATAAGAATTTAAATGATGGCACGAAAAACAATCATATGTAGGTAATTTAGATTGATGGTTTGTTAAAAAAAGATCTAATCACACAAAGCTCGACATTCATAGATTGGTTTGTTGTGCTAACATTTTACATCAACCCAACTAATGTTACAATATTGCCATACCTGAGCTACTTTGTTTGCATTATATTCCATTGCTTCAATCATTAATTTGAGAACCGATGTTTCAAGGGAAAAACGAGGAATTGCTTCATTGATCTCGGCACCTTTCAAATGCATTTCAGCTGAGAAGCACTTGTACGAATGTAACCACTCTCACCTACAAAACCAAACTGCGACTGCCGAAAGTCTGCAACTCGCTTGTAATGCTAGCAAATTAAGCGTATTGTTCGCAGCTGACAGCCCGTCATAGTCGAGGTTGCCTCTTTTGTGAAGGTGTTGAATATTCTTATCATACAATCTTGACAAACTTGGTGTTGGTGTGAGTGTTTTGGATATGATTTTTGTCCATGTTTACACTTCTTTCTTACATAAAGTAAAGTTCTAGAATTGCCTTTATATTTTTTGATTGCTTAGTAATAAAATATCTCAATAAAAAAGTATGTTGGTATATTGTATATCTAAGTAAGAGTGATGTTTAATTTAAATTGTAGATGTTTTACGTCCAAACGCATCACTAAATTATAAAATTGTTATAGCAAATAATGTCTTTGTTTAGTGTATCAATGACAGGGTGTACCAAAAATACTTTAAATAACTCTATTTTATTGTAGCTTTACATGGAGACTCTTTAAACCCCATTGATTGATCTCCATGGTTGTAAGTATTAACATTTCCCTCCATAACATGAATACAAGGAAATTCGCTTTGTCTGCAGGTTTGTTGCAGCAGGGGTATTTAAAAACTCTGTTTTATAGGTGATAAATAAATTTTAATAATAAATACAAGTTTACCTGAACAATGAGCATGCAAACAGCTAGTCCTGTATAAACTTATAATATTGATAATTCAGTGATGATATTATGTGTAGAGTTTATCAGCCATGCTGAGTAGCTTCTCTCGGTTGACTTTGATGATTGGAGTTTTAGGAATCGTCTCAACCTCATGAACCTCTAGACCTAAAGCATCTCCGGCTTGTTCTGGGAACATTCAGAGCATAACTAACAATTTTAAAACTTTCATATTGGCTCTAAAAGTGATAACAATCAATAAGCTTAATTACATACAATTATCAATTTAAAGTCTTAACTACGATGAAATCGTCGGTTAGGCCATATTCAACCACATAAACACAGTAACCTCTCATTAATCTGACCCGTACTTAATCATCTTTGCTATATCCAAGCAACCATTAGACCAAATTTCATATAAATTACATAGAGTCAGGATTGACCCACTGTAAGCTAAACAGTTTTGTTGTTGCAATATATGTTTATATTAATTGTGTAAGAAGCAGCATTTGATTTGATAATGTTGGTTGAATTCCGAATGTTAAAGACTTTTGTTTTGTTCTGATTGTTAAGTTTGTTTAAATAACAATAATTGAGTTGTGATTGAAATGGAGAATAAGTTGAATGCACTAGATTTTATCTTGTTCTTTTAAAATATCACAATGGTGCAGTTGAGTTAAAGGACCCCGTTCCGAGGGATAGTGAGTCCAGTAAAAGTAGTTATTTCTTTTTAATTTTAATATACCAGATCCTGAAGGAGACAAATCTAAACATCCAGAAAAAGGACTAAAGTTTCTGTCTGTTTTAATAACTCTGTTGCAGGCCAAAAAGTTTTAACGATTTAGTCTTACTTAGTTTCACCTGTAGCTGTAGATAGCAAAAGTTATGAAGAGTTAATTAAAGTAATTGAGAACTATTTTTCTCCAAAGAAATTGGTGGTAGCAGAGAGATACACTTTTTATTCTCGTGTGCAAAAATCTAGTGAGAGTATTTCAGAGTTTGTTGTAGCGATTAAACATTTAGCTAGGTACCGGTAGTTCATGTAAATTTGGCACATTCTTAAAAGAGGCCCTTAGAGACAAGCTTATTACAGGGATAAGTAATGAGGTCATAAGGCAAAAATTGTCTGAGGATCAAGAATTTGATGAAGCTTATAGTTTGGAGCTCAAAGGGCAGGCTGAAAAACAGAAAAGTTTGTTCAGTCCAAAACAGAAAATTTGTCATTTAAATTCCAAGCCCAATTTTTCACATGTGAATCAAAATAGGCCGACTGGTAGTCAGTTCAATTCAGCTTATGGTGCTGGTATGACTAATATTAATGCTACGTTTAACTGTTACAGATGTTGTTCAGTTGAACATAGGGCCAATGAATGTCCATATGCAAATGATAAATGCAATGGGTGCAACATAGTTGGGCATCTACTAAAAGCTTGCCGAAACCAAAGTAAAGTTAGAAAACTTGGAAGGAAGAACAAGAGAGGTTCTAATAGAGTCCATCACATCTCCAAAGATAATGTAAATGAGCTTAGCTCAAGCTGCAATTAAGTTTCAAATAATGTGTGTATGTACAACTTTGAATTAAACAGTGGTATGGCAGCTAACAAGGTAAGGCTAACTATAGAGAAGGTTCTGGTGGAGATGGAAATTGACAGCGGGTCATATTGCTGTATCAGTTTGTCCTTCAGACGTTTTTAATGACCATTTTTCTCATATTGAATTAGAAAGCCTGTTTCTATGAATTTGCGAACTTACACAGGCGATGAAGTGCCTGTTCTAGGTCAAGCTGAGGTTAGAGTTTTACATAAAAACTAGAGTGTTACTGTTGATTGTTGAGGCTTGTCGTAGACAGCCTATTTTGCTAGGAAGGAACTATGGTTAGCGAAATTAAATTTAGATTGGCATGCTGTATTTGTATGATACTACTGGTACTAAATCTAAGTCTACAGTGAATGTTTTAGTTAGAAAATATAAATAAAATTAGAAGCTTTAACATTTAAAGCTCAGAAGTTTATTTACCATTCCACTCAAGACTGAAACATCAACATGACTGATATTGTTTACCTCCAACTAACATATGATACGTTTAACATATGATAATATGTGAATATAACATTATAATACATCTTTCCCCTTTAAAAAACAGCAAACAAATTTGAAAGAATTAACTAAAAACAATAACCAACCAAACTTCTCCCTTCTTTTGAGACCATTATATTGTATTCTGAAATCTTGATGGTAGCTTGATTTCTCTACGAGGTCTTAGTCGTACTGGCTCGTCTTGCCTTGGAACTGACTGGGAATTGTTTTGTTGAGTGAGTGATGGTTTCAGATGGCGGCGATTTCTTCTTAATGTAGCCCCATTGTCACCTTCTACCCAGTAACTTCTTGGAGTTGGTCCTTGATTAACAATCTTTCCCTGCTCCCACCTTCCTTCATTTCTGAAGACAACTCTTTCGTTATTCCTTACAACCCTTAAGTCTTTGGCTGACCGATCATAATATTTTTTCTGTAGGTGTTGTCTTGTATTTAACCTGTCTTGTACTCCATCATTCAGCGTTGGTTTCAGCTGTTCCTCAGTGACCGGGATCGTTGTTTTACACCTGCGTTGTGGGATAGCACCCTCCTTAAGCTGAATATGATGAGTGCTTGGAAACTGTCCCAATCCTTCAAAAGCTGGCTTATAGCCGGTTAAAACATCGTCCTTATCCTTAAAATTCAAACATATCGATGACACTCTCTTAATGAGTCCTAAATTGACACAATCTTTCAGTCCTAAAATTGGCAGTTCATGTTCGACATTCACTACAGCAAAATTCACATCTGCAGTTACACCTGTAATTGTTTTACATTGTAATATCACAAGACCTAGAGGTTTGATTTTGAATTTTTCATCTCCCCAGGCTGAGAGTACATAAGAACTACGTTTTACGTGTGTAATGTTCATTTTCCGTACATAACTAGCAGGTAAAACACTGATCTCTGCACCTGTATCTAGTTTAAATTTAACTTGTGTACCACCAACAGTCAAGTTTTCCGTCCACGATTTTTCACTTTGACCTTTTACTCCACTAATGTTTAAGCTTACCGAGCCTAAACTAACATCGCTCACACAAGAGTCTTCATCGTGTTGTTCCTCGTTTGTAACAGCATGAGATTTTATAGTTTTGCTCCTACAAACCTTTGCAAAATGATTTTTACCATCACATTTCGAGCATGTTTTGCCATATGCAGGACATTTACCCCGTACATGTTTGTAGCCGCAAAAGCTACATAGATCATTCTGTTTTTCTTTTGCAGCACTCCGCGAAAGTTCTTGATTTGGTACATTATTAACAACACATACACTGTATGGATCCGACTTAGTCCTCGAAAGCTTGGTTTCATTGTGCTCTACAATAGTCCTACATTGATCCTTGCTACTCTCTACAATCATACAGAAATCAATAGCTTTTTTCAAGTCAAGTTTTGGTTCTCTTAATAGACGCTCTTGAGTACTTTTATCTCTTATGCCTAAGACAATTCTATCTCTAATCATATTGTCAGGTTCAAGAAACTCGCATGATTTAGCTGCTATTTTTAACTGCATAACAAACTTACTGAAGTCTTGACCATCTTCCTGCTTCATTCTATAGAATTTAAACCGCTCAAATATGACATTTTTCAGAGGACAACAGTAAGATTCAAACTTAGCAAGTACGCAATCAAAACTATCTTTGTCATTATCTTCAAATTTAAAAGTATTATATACATCTAGGCCATCATCGCCTAACAGATTAAGCAGCTGCGCAATCTTAACTTCATCTTTAAGTTTCTTACCATGACCAGTTGCTATTAAGTACAGTTCAAACTTCTGACGAAATCTTTTCCAATTTTCACTCACATTTCCTTCAAAACTCATAGGTTCAGGCAACCTAAACAATCCAGATACTTCCATTATTTCTTCTAGGTTTCAAAATACACCTGACACCATGTTTTAGTTAGAAAATATAAATAAAATTAGAAGCTTTAACATTTAAAGCTCAGAAGTTTATTTACCATTCCACTCAAGACTGAAACATCAACATGACTGATATTGTTTACCTCCAACTAACATATGATACGTTTAACATATGATAATATGTGAATATAACATTATAATACAGTGAATGTTACAACATGTGAATTGAAGCAACCTAATTGTAAAGTTGTGTTGCCTAGTGTTAAACTTGAGGCTGAAGTAGAGGTGTTAAAGAAAAAGTACAATGCAGTGTTTCAAGGGGGGCCAGGAGAAATAAAAGGTGTTAAGGCTCAAGTCACTCTCAAGGACAATGCTGTTCCTAAGTTTTGCAAATTTAGGCCTGTGCCTTACTCGTTAAGGGAAAAATTTGAACAAGAATTAGATCGGTTGGTTGAGGATGGTATAGCGTACAGAGTTTCTAGTTCAGAATGGGATACTCCGTTAGTTACAGTGCCCAAGACTAATGGTGTCCGATTGTGCGCAGACTTCAAAGTAACATTGAATCCGGTGTTACAGACGGAACATTATCCATTACCTCAACCTGAGGATATATTTGCTTCTCTGTCTGGTTGTACATATTTTTCAGTCGTGGATCTCACTAATGCTTATCAGCAATTAGCTGTTGCGGAGGATTCACAACCTCTGTTGACGTTAACGACTCACAAGGGTCTTTTTTGACTAAGACGTCTGCCATCTGGACTTTCTTCAGCTCCAGCTATATTTCAAGCTGTAATCAATCAAATTATAAACGGATCACCAGGAACTGTAACCTATTTAGATGATGTTTTGGTTAGCAGATCAACGAGAGAGGAAGCCTTTTATAGATTGGAGAAATTGTCACAGCGTCTTATGGAATTTGGAGTTCAAGTTAAAGGAAGTAAATGCAAGTTCTTATAGCCTGAAGACCAAGATTTGTAAAGAGCCAGTCATTTGAGAGTATTTACGAGAAAAGTATATTTGAATATTTATATTTAAATGTGTAATATTAGTTAGAACTTCCTTTTTTTCTTTACAAATAAATCTTTTTTTTCTTTACACTGGCAAGCTCAGCCACTAATCACTCTGAATGAAAACTATAAGAAACGTCTAGTTATTGACTATTCACAAACGATAAATAAATATACTTTACTTGATGCTTACCCACTCTCCCGGATTGACGACATTATAAGTAAAGTGGCTAGCTATGCCATAGTCATTACTATTGACTTGAAATCAGCATATCATCAAAACCCCATTTCTGTAGAAGAAAGACCTTTCACAGCATTTAAAGCTGATGGTAAGCTAAACCAGTTCACTAGAATCCTCTTTGGTGTCACCAACGGTGTAGCCTGCTTTCAAAGAGTGATAGAATCTATAATAATATCAAAAGAAAACCTTAAAGGTGTGTATGCTTATTTAGATGATAAAACCATCTGTGGCGGCTCTCAAGCAGAACATGACGAGAATTTACAAAGGTTTCTTCAGGTAGCTAAAAAGTATAATTTCACTTTGAACGATAAGAAGTCCAAGTATTGTCTTAGTTCAATAAAGCTGTTAGGTTATTTGATATGTATTAAGACCATGAGATGCCTCCTTCCAAAGATGCGACATCTCTTAAGCGTGTTGTGGGAATGTTTGCCCATTACTCCAAGTGGGTACGTAATTTTTCAGACGAAATACAAACCTTGGTCAGTTGTAAATCTTTTCCTTTGACTCAATCTGTACGGTACCAAATTTACCATTAACTTATCAAAGACCAATCAGGGAGAAAAGACTTCCAAAATACCTACAAGGTACACAATTTTAACCAAGGGAGAATGTCATGATTTCTAATATCCTTGATATTACAACTTTGATCAGCTGCCCTGGTTACTATGCAAATTTAACTTATTTATTTGTGTTATTCTGTAATGTTGGTTTTTACTCAAATAAAGCCTTAGATTAATTTGTAAAAGATTTTTTCAACAATAGCTATGCTAAAAACAATGTTGGTGTTTGACAATTTGTAGCATTAATGTCTGGTTAGAGCTAGTTCACATGGCAATGATTGAGTAGTCAGCATGGTCTTGTGATAGCTCTGATTTTCTTTGCAATAAAATTATTTCATTCAATCTGGACATTTATGAACCTGGATTAGAACTTCAGGTTCAACCTTAGTTAGGATTAATGACAGATTTACTAGACCGTTACGTTACTGATCTTGTTATGGAAGGGCTTGCTACTGCGCGTCCAGTTATCACAGTAATTTATTCAGACACAATATTTTCAATAAAGTGCTGAAATAAGACACAAACCTGAGAGATACTCTGATATTTCTGTTCCTGAGACTTGACAGCCTGACTTGACCACAATGAAGACAATCAGTTTGTAAGAGTCAGACTTGGGTTTAGCTACAACTCCAGCATCTATCACTTTAGAGTGGGTCTTCAACAGGTCTTCTATCTCAGATATTGAAACCTGCAAAGATAGCACATTTTAGCATTCCTTTCCTAAGCAAGCATTCGTTCAACATAAATATTAAATACTGACTTTAGTGTTACTAAAACTGTGTCTGCCCTATGTATAAGATTAATGTGATGGAGTCTGAAGTGTCCAAGGGGGGTGATAGCAGTGCACTTACCCCACTGCGATTTTGGGGGGATTTTTATTTTACATTTCACCATTGAGAATTATAAAATTGTTCCTACAAATAGTCAAAATAGTGTTTTTCATTTCATACACTCTATTAACACTTGCAACACAATTTTGACCATTCTTAATTACCTAACATTTGTCTGTCGCAACAACACAATGTCTTCAGGATCGCAAGATTGCTCTTAATTCAATTCACCGTGTACGTGCAGTATGAAATGGGGAGGGGATTTGTGCTCCCGAACTTGGGAGGATGAGCACCTCTGGATGGAGTAAATAAGCGCTAAAAGCCATAACACCAGGGAATGCAAGAGCTGTTGGAAAGGCTAAATACTTTCTCAGACATTACCGTAGCCACATATTTTGGTAAAGTGAAAGATAAATGTTGGTGGGTGATGGAGGACAGAGTGATACTTGGTGCAGTTGTAGTTTTGAGTACATACTGTTAACTAACAATGTTAACAATATTATAAAGAACACTTTTTTTGCCTGAAGAGTAAATAAGTAATTTTGGGTCCCTAACTAAAGTGTGTTGTTCATGTACTAATAATTTGTTTATACTGTGTCAAACAATCAATTTCATTAGGTTTCAGATTCAAGCATTTTTCTGTTACAAACCTTGGACTCTCCAAGGGTTATAATCTCGCCCACTCTTCCATAAATGTAAAGGAATCCTTCACTGTCAAAATATCCAACATCTCCAGTCTTAAAGAATCCGTCAGAGTCAAAAGACTGGGCATCCAGTTCAGGTTGTCCCCAGTAGCCCAGGGTTGTAGAGAGGGTTCGGGCCCTTACTTCTCCTATGCTTCCTGGCTCTACAAGACGGCCTTCTTCATCTGTAATCTGGTTAAACAATGTAATAAGTTGCTAGCAAAAACTGAAAATAGAACGATTTACACATAGAACCTAAACTACCTGGTGATAAACTATAGGTACATCCTACCTTAACTTCCACCCCAGGGGCTAAGTAGCCTGAAGAGTCGGCTTTGGACAGATCTAGTAGATTGTGTTTATTCCATGTTGTAATGAATCCAGTTTCTGTCATTGCGTACAACACATACACTCCAATCCTACCCTTCAAAACTTGTGATACAAACTCGTTGATCGTCCTCTTTCTCGCAACGGCTCCTGCTGTAAATTCCAAATCCTCTTCATTCTCAAATTTAAAATGCACTCAGAAGTAGCTTAAATAGCAAGTAAAGTAACTAAGGCTTCATTCATCTTCGCCTTAAAATACACTCCCTCTGGCATGCCGGTGTCAAATGCAATTTTTTTACAATTTCAAAACCCATAACACTTGTTTCCACAACCTGCTCTTGCTAGATTGCAAACTCATATTAAAGTTTTATATATAATATAAATAGTGATTAAAGTGTTAAAAGGATCATGTAAAATCATTCAAAATCATTTATATGGACAACATTATTAATCTAAGTTACATATTATTTAATATTATATTATTGTTATTTTTTGTTGTTAATTTTGTTGAAAAAGCTGGAATGTTATGGTATGAGTAGGGAGGTTGTTCTGTGGTTTGGCAACTATCTCCAAAATAGGTTTACAAAAGTAAAGATTAATACCATGATTGGAAACTCAGTTTTTTCTGATTGGAATAAAGTACCTACACTTAGGAGATCCCCAAGGTCCAAAGGTAGGGCCATTCTTGTTCTTAGTTTATGTCAACAACTTGTTTTGAAATGTAAATTCAGATTTAATTTTATTTGCAGATGACACAACAGCAATAGTCAAAGGTAAAGACAAAAATGAATTGGCACTTAATTACTTAATATCTCTTCCTCTGTTCAAAACATCAGTTTCTGGTTGAGCAAGAACGGTCTAAGTTGGTAATCATGCCAAGACTAAAATATTAGAATGTTCCGCCTCCTCAAACAGGTCCAAAGAATTAATTTTTGCAGTTCCCTACACCAACATTGACCTTCCTGTATGTAAATCAGTAGATTTTCTGGGACTAACAGTTCAAGATTTAAAATGGAATAACCACTGTGACCATTTATATGCTAAACTAGACAAAGCTATATTTAATCTCTGAATTATTAGAAGAATTTGCAATGACAAGACAGTGATGTTAGTATACCATGGTTATTTCTTATCAATTATGTCTTACAGTTTGTTGTGCTGGGCAAATTCACCTTCTAGAAAATATATCTTTAAACAACAAAACAAGGCCATCAGAGTCATATTGCCGGCAACAGCTCAAGAAAATCGTAGATCCAGTTTTAAGAAATTCAAACTTTTGACCCTTCCTGCTCTTTATATTTTACACTTGGCACTTTTCATAAAAAACAACCTTAATTTATTTGAAAACTGTAAAAAACTCATAATTGAAACTAGACACAAACAACTTTTGGAAATTCCAAGCCATAAATTAGCTTTATTTCACATGGGCCCTATTATCAATGCAAGTCTACAACAAATTGTCCTTTTATTTCACGGAACAGTCTTTGAGCTTTAATAATTTTAAAACAAACTTTTAGAAAAACTGATTGCACTTTGTGACATGAATTCATTTTTATCCTATCAACTGTAATCTTAATATTTGTATATATTTATTTATGTGTAAACTATTTATAATGTGTGATTTGTACTAACATGTCACATATTCATTCCTGATATTAAGCCTCTTTATTGTGAATTCTTGTGATGAATAAATTGATTTGATTTGATTTATATCATAAATTTAAGTTTATTGTTACTGTGTCTAGAAGGCAAAAGCTTATTATTTATTAACCAAATTTACTCGAGTTATCATGTTAGTGGACACACACATACACTGTGTATATACAAATATTTGAACAAATATCAATTATCAATTATCAATCATTGCGATGGGGACGCTCAATGATCAATCAAATGTTGTTTTTGTCCTCTAGGGATGAAAAAAGTAAATCAGTCCTGGGTCTATAGTTCATATCATGATACCGATAATCGCTTATTCCGCATGGGAAATTCACTAATAATAATCATCTTAGTTTCTTGTACTCGTTGTTTACCTACCAATCGAATCACTGTTATTCTAAGTTATAGAAAGTGAACTCCACTGTAACTATTGGGAAATGGGATACTAAGTTAGATTATATTGTAGCTTCCTAGTCTTTGCCCCACCTTAAGAAATCTACAGACTTACCCAAATCAAGGTGCAGGTACTTACTTTTCGTGTCCGGAAATCAGACTTCACTTTTCCAAAAATTAGCTACCGATATGGCTTTAATTGTCATTCGCTTGTAAAAGATCATCTATGTGCAAGACTGGTCTAGGCGTGGACAGATCAGCAGATGGCCAGGATCCTGAACAGCACCACTCGCACACAAGATGTTTTCTTCAACTTGTAAGATTAAGAGACCCCATTTCTGCATGTTTGTTTTGCATTTTGGTACCTCGACCCTGATTCGATTTAGGGTCTTCCACACCGTGTAATGTAGGTCTCCACCAGGAGCCAGTTCCTCCCTGGCTGGTGTGGGAGGGTTAGTCAACGAGGCCTCCCTCCTTCAACTTCGAAAAAAAAAGAAAAAAAGGTGCAGGTGCACAGAGGAAGTAATTTAAGACAAAATTGACTTATGCTAATTAGGTTATGTTATGACTTGACTTTTTTGCTCACCAACAACAACCACTGTGAGTGAAGAGAGGTCCACTGAAGCAAGTGTAGGTTCCTTAACATAAAGATTCAAAATACTAGATTGCACAGTCCAACTATTGACCTAGAATAACAGAGTTAATTGTTAGTGCAGAAAAATTAATATAAAAGGGCTATCCAAAAAATAAAGATTGAGCGCCTGGACAAGGAGACAAGGAGACAAGTGAGCTTAAACAGGGCTGAGAATATGTTGTCTTCTTTACTTTATCCACTTTGATTTATTCTAACCTGCTCCCCTTTATAGATTTAGTCTCATCATCAATATACAAAAATCCCGTGTAAGAAATCAACAATCCCGCTAAATATAAATAACTAGGTAAAACCCATCGAAATCGACAGTTACTTTCAAGGCTTGAGCTCATTCATCTAACTGCGATAAATAGAGTACAATTTTACAAATTTTGAGCATTTCGCATTGTTTAATGAACAATCGTTGAAAAAACAATAATGACTATTGCGTTAGTTACAACATATGTCCCATACCGCACGTTATCGGAGTTATTATTACTATGTTAACTGGTTTCTCTTCTTTTGGAAGAACCCTTAAGTAGTATTAAAATCGTATATTGGTGAATCTTTTGTGGTTAACACTTCCGCGATTTCATCAGTGTAAAGAAGATAAAATCAATGCTTTTATTTGAGAAAAAATATCTGTTTGTTGAGACGGCACTTTCTTACTTCAAAGGGAAGTCCAACCTTAAGCTGTGTAAGTTTGATTTTTTCCTTCGTCACATCGGTCATCTTAGCATATTTTTGTGGCAATGAATAATGCTCTAGCACAGTTTTGAGCAATTGGTCGTGGGGTTACTGTTAAAGCTGGAATTCCTGGACATGCGGATGTCAGTTGTCTTAGCCTTATCAATTACATAAAGCTGTCAATATAATCTCTCTTCGGAAAGTTAGGTGTAGTAGAATTTACTTGTAGTGAAGCTGGCTTTTATTCGGGTACCTTGCAGCTTCATTGGTAACAAATAATGTAAATGACAAAGCAATGCTGCATTTCCAAAAAAGCAAATACTGTAAATTGGCTGATACGTAAATAGTAACGTTTACATGCATTGTTGTTAGTCAATGTATCTTATAAAGGACTCGCCTTTGGCTCGCCAGACCCCCATTGTGGGGTGGTGGCTAATTAGCAGTAGTTGGTAAGTAACGTTAGCAGATTGAGTCTATTGTGCAATGAAATTAGCAAAAAGATGAGGAATTACGATGATATAGAAGAAAGTAATAATTTTGTATGTAAATTTTTTTAGTAAAGAAAAGTTGTAGTGATATTCATATATATTAGTTAAAATGTATTAGGTAATATTTTTTCCTGTCAGCTAGCCATAAATTGTATGACACATCCAGTTCCACCACTGGGAGACCGGGAAACGTGTTAACCATTTATGTACAAATGTAATATGCCAATTGTAGATTGTAGGAATATAATGAAAGTAAAGGATTATATGAAGTAAAAATTATTGTATTAAATATTCATAAATGTATTAATGATATTAATAAAAATCTATTAAGTTTAAGTGACTACACTACAGTGTAGGCCTACCTGCTATCGTTTGTTACGTTAACGTTACTACGCAGCGGCGTGTATGACATTGACATCTGTAAATGAAAGATCATCTGTAAAGGCTCATCTGTAAATGGACATAAACTAAGAGAAGCTGGTGATCAATCTCAACACTTATCAGATGTTGCTTCTTTGATGAGTTTCCTGTACTGGAAGTGTCAAGGCAAGACTTGAAAAATAAAGAAACCCCCAGCCAAGATGAGAACAAAAATGATATTAAACTCGAACTTGAAGCCAAATGTCCGAGTAAAAAACCTAACAAAATCCATCTGTGAAGGCTTTTTAAAGAAATTTGAGAAGAAGATCCTCAATCAGTTTATGTAGATATTGATATTTGCAAGCACAGCTACATAAAAATGCTCACCAGAAAGATCATTTTCATGCCTTGAAAGGGCAACATATTATTTAAGAAGCCAATCTTCTGAAGAAAGACATTGTTAACTAGCAGTCTTAATATTGAAGAAGTAAGATTATGAATGGCATTCTCAGTTGCCCCGAACTTCTTCTGGAGATCGACATCAGGGTTTCAGGCAGAACTCGTTTCAGAGCATTTTTTGGCCGGCGCTTCAGGTCAACATCCTATGACGCCAACAGTCCACTCGCTAGGATTCTTCGCCTGGGAAACACGGTGTCAGGCGCAGTGGACTTCTTCTTCGACCTTGCTTCAAACTAGCTCGAAGAAAGTTCCTCACTGTCCTTGGCGCGCAACAAAATGCAACTCCTTAATCGAACTTTTGTCGATGTATTGTCTCACCAACATTCATTTTTTGTTGTTATTCAGCCTTACGCAATTTTTTACTTTTTGTGATTCATTATATTCATTTTCATATTTATTGTTACGGGTATTGTTATTTATTTATATTGTTATTTATTGTTGATTTTTCTATTGTTCTATTGATTGTCACATTGATTTTGTGTTATAAGTTGAAAACTGTTTGTTGATTTTTATCAAATGGCTCTGCCGTTGGTATGTATAATAAATAAATAAATAAGTAACTGCTGAACTCCTTGGACTTAACTTGGACTGTTAATTTATTTTCTAGGTTTAAATCAAGGAGAAACGTGTGAACCAACTACCAACTTAACTCATTCAAAATGTATGTTATTCTTTTTAAGTAGGATCTGTCATGGATATGCTTATAACGCTTTTCATATTGAACACCTTTAGTCAGATCCACTTACTTTTTTATACAAACTTTTTTTTGTTTTGATTAATTTAGTATTAAAATATAACAGTTTTGTGAATAAAAGTATTTGTGATTGTATATCTGACTAAAAGTGATCAATGAAAAACGTTATAAGAACCCTTGTATATGGACGTTTTTGTGTACCGTTTACACGCCGCAATACACGATTTTGAATTTTCTGATTGGATACAACATTGCATTCCATGTATGCAAAACAGAATCGTGTTTCAGAACACAAACGGGGAAACAAAATTTTCTGTTAAAGAAGCTCAAAATGTTATTAGATTTGTTGATGCAGCATGCAATTGCCGATTACTTTTCTTCAAAAACAGCTGGCAGGGCATGTATTGGGGTAATCTTATTGTGGTCGGTGAGCGCGCTGACGATGGTGGGGGGAGGGGGCGGCTAACATTGCTGCCTAGAGGTGGCAGATAGTTAAATACGTCCCTGATACTTTGACTAACAACTGTAATATTACATGTCATTCATTCATCATTAACATTAATTTCTGTATTATTTTGTGTATTTTCTCCCATAATGTCTGTTAATGCCCCTGATAATGTATTATCAGTTATTTAATATGTTTCTCCTTGTTAATGTGTTATTTTATCAAATTTTGTTCAATGTTATATAATATCCCATCACCCCACAGAAACATCATCCTATTTCATGTTACAATAAAATATTTATGCAAATTCTCTCCATACCTATTAAGTACTCATCAAAAACCAACAATAATCATTTATTTAGAATAATATATAATTGTAAGAAAATTGCAATATAGTAATAACATCTTAAATATAGTATTACTTTTCAAAATTATCCAAAGAAAATCAAAATTACTGTGGCAAGTGTCATTCATGTAAATTTAACCAGCTGTGCATCATTGCAACAATGGACATGGACTTCCTGAGCTTCTACCATTGCCTCTCCCCAGATCCTGCCAACTCTTCACAGTGTGAACATCATTCTATTGGAAATTGTGTTTGATTTAAACTAAAATTTATAATCCCAAAGTAAAACCTATATTTTAAATTTCTCATCATCCAAAAGTATTGGACAAGTGCATTGAAGAGTACCAATTTAGGCTATAAGAAGACAGACACTCCAAATTTGGTAACCATCATCCATCTTATTTAACTAAGGACAAATTTAATCTTCATTGGACATTTAATCAGTACAGCCTACTAGGCCCAAAAACTCAACTCATCAAGATATACATATTTCAAATTGAACTTTTATTCAAAATTTAATCTTCAAATTCTATTTTATTTCATTAAATTCAGTGAAACCATTTGGAATCTTTCTTTGGACATTAACATTATTAGCCTATATTAATAGCATCATGAACCTAGCTTAACTTATTTCAGAACAATAACTAAATTAAATTATTTGCATTTTAAAGAAGCCTAATATATCATTCGAACCGGCACGACCACCCCTCCCTGGATTAAGAGCTCATAGCCTATTTAAATATTAATTAGTGTACTTTAGAAGAAACCAGCCCAATATAAGCCTAGAATCTTTTGATCCACCTTGGAACCCCCACCATTTTGAAAATTTACCATTGTTAACTTACCCTGTAGCTAAATTCAACCAATAACTTATCTCATATTTGTATTTCATTAATAAATTTTATATTGTAACTTACCAAATCTATTTATTCTTAAAATAATTCATAATTATAAGATTAAGACAAAGACTTACCTTATTAGACAGAAACAAAACACAAATTAGGAATTATCTTTATTAAGAAATAAAAATGACTTTCAGTTCAATGTGGGCTAACTTAGTAGCCAAAGGAATTTTGTAGGCCTAAGTTAATGAATAGCCTATAGAAAGCTTTATGGTGCGTAGCACAACAATGTATGTAAACGTCACCATTTAGGTATCAGCCAATTTACAGTACTAGAGAACCCGTGTAGCTCAATGAGCCGCATAGTATGAATCATAAATCCGAGGAAAACGTTATGCTTAAATTTGAGTAATTCTAGTTACATCTTAGAGTTGTTTAAACGTTTGTTAGAAACTAATTTTAAATATCTCTATTTGCGTCGTAAAATGCACAAAGCTGAACATCCACCCCTTACTTTCTCTAAGTCAAAATACCTTGCTCCATTCACCCTTTCAACTGTTTGGTTGACAACTGAGACCAATAATTTTGATTCACAATGTTTTCATACAACGTAAAGAGACTAAGACTATAATAGTCCCAGGGTTGGAAACTGGTAGAATATTGGCCACCTTCAGTAAGTTATAAGACTTTGAAGTAACCATCACTCCTATAAATGGGCTAGCTGTGACCAAATTATTATTAAAAAGAACAAAGCTGAAGCTACTCACACACAGTGTGATACAGTCTAAAACTCCATTTTCTCCTTTAGCTTTTGTTGTGATATCAGCTAATGTCACTTACAATATGCTATAGCTTACAAGAACTTTGCCTACCAGCTTGGCCTGGTGTTAGTTAATTTGCAGAAATTATAAATTTACAGCAGCCCATTCTGTCAGTGGCTCAATTCTATTATGTGCATTTTAATTGTTTAAATGGTTGCAACTTTAACGTAGAAAAGATTTAGTTCTAAGTTCTATCTTTAACGATAGTCAAAGATTGAACATTGTGAATCAGCTAGCAGAATATAGTTACCGGTACTGATCTAACTACGCTGGTTCTGTTACAACTCAAACTGGTTTTAAGGCCCCGTTTATGCACCAAGAGCGGGAGCGGTAGTGACAGCGGGAGCGATTTTCAACACCATTGAGTTAAATGGGGCTGTTTATGCACGAAGAGCGATAGCGGTAGCGGTTGACCTCCCGCTGCGGTTTCTAATTCGACCGCTGTGTAGTTAGAAATTGCAGCGGTTGCTTGGGATAGAGTGGTTTTCAACTACATTGAGTCAAATGAGACTGTTTATGCACGGCGGGAGTGGGAGCGGCTGCAGCTAGGGTTGCCAACTTGATCCACGCGCACGTGCACTTGAATTGAATGATACAATTTTTTGAATGGACAAATAGTTGTGTTAATTATTTGGCAGAGTTTGAGTTGGCAAGACTGTGTCCCCCTTCCATTCTCCGTTGACCAACCGCTACCGCTATCGCTTGCACAATTTTGACAAAATTTTCACAGCGGGAGCGGGCCCGCTATCGCCCCACTCCCGCTCTTGGTGCATAAACGGGGCCTAAGCAGTCTATTTGATCGATAACTAAGGCTTACCTGAATGGGAAAGAGTCCAGACTGGCACAGGAAACACAAAACTGCAAAGTTTTGCGTATATTAATTGTGTAGAGTGTAAAGTTTTGTGTTTCCTGTGCCAGTTTGGACTCTATCCCATTCAGATAAGCGCTATCCTCTCAAAAAATCCTAAAAACCTAGGCCCTTGTGCTCTATGTCACGCCCTTAACCTTGATTGATAACTATGATGTTTCAGCTTCTTAAGTGATTCAATGGTTTGAGCATAATCCATCAATTTACATTAGGCTATTTCAGTTTATCTATATGCCTCAATGGTTGTAAGTTTTTAAAAGCTTACTTTATATTTTTCAATGGCTTTGAACTGAGAGGCAGGATCCTTTGCTTCACTGAGGACAAGACAGTATCCTTTGAGCAGGCTGGACACCAAGGACATAGTGCAGCTGACCCATGAGAATGGACTTGTCAGTAAATGTGACTTAACTCTGACCGTCGCACCTTTTGCACTGAAAGTAAGTAAAACTGGTTTAACTAATTGTTTGGTGTTTTGGATGTGTTGAATATTTTTGTTTCCCAACCTTTTTTCTTGATGTGCAGCTTTAAAAGAAAAAATATTGTGCGTACCACTTGGTTATGTGGAGGTAATTTTGGATGGACTATGTGTACGGTATTTATTATTTTGCTAACCTGGCTAACCCATCTTCCAACCACAGTATAACCCTTGGAGGGTTGTATTTTTAAAATTGATGAATTCCCGAGTGAAGAATGAACACCGTTGACGTTGACACCACAGTTGCCAATGGGCCGTCAACTAATGCTGACACACTTGCCCTAACAATTTCTTACATATAATAGAGTACTGTTCAATGAAATGGCGACCATACAAAGTAGACTCGGGGAAAGAGTGCGCACTGGGTAAGATCGAGTACCCAAAGCGGAAATTTTTACTTTGCGCTTGAGTTAGTTGGTACCACTTACTACTCTGAGGTACCACTAAGTCTCATCCGGTGCAAGACAGTACCCTCTTCATTCCTCCATAGTTTGATGGTTCATCTCACAATGAGGTAAAATAATTCTACCGTACCATTATTTTGATATAATATTTAAGAATTTGGGAATTAGTATGTACGTTATTCCAATAATTAATTCAATCGTTTCAATCCTATACACTTTAAATGGTCATTTAATGCTCTAATTATAGCCATGTTAGTTTAGTTCCATTAATGGCCACAGTGAGCAGCAGCTCATTACATGTAAAAACTTTGAACATGGGGTAAGAGTACGCATTAAGGTTAGGGCAAGAGTTCACATGCCCCAAACATGTTATTTCAGTGTTCATACCTCGTTTAAGAAATCCAAAGGTAAAAAAAAAACAATTCAACAACCAAGGACATCAAGTAGGTACCAAAACTATCTGTCTAGGGGAACCTCCAAAGGAGGACTGGATTCAATGCACTTCATGCAAGTGAATGACTCTTGTTCAATTTATGGGGATGGGAGCAAATTCACTTGTGATTACTGCTAAAAAGAACTAATTGTCGCTAAGAACGTGCTAAACTTAAATTGTTTTGTAGTATTTAAGTGAATGAGTGTTTTTACTAATTAAATCTGTATCAGTATGTCTTGCGTGCTTTTTTAAACAATGTGCGTCCTTTTGCCCCATTACATGCACACTCTTTCGCTACATACAGGGCAAGAGTCTGCAAATGTAACTTTTTGTAACATTATTATTTTTTGAATGATACATTACCGGTAATGATAATTGAAAAAATAAAATGTAGTTAGGTTATGGGTACAGTTTCTTAATTGGGCTATGCTAATATCGATTGAAACTATCCATTTGATTAGTAAAAACCTTCATTCGATTTTTTCATTTACTTATCTGCAAGTTTAGGTTATGACAGTTTAATTTTATAATTGATATAGTTAAAAATAGGCCTATTGATTATTAATCGATACTTTCACCCAGACAGCACACTTTATCCCAGGGACATCCCATAGTAGTCCCATATGTCCTGAGAATGTCTCAGGATATGTGCGCTATCCTCAGGATATCCCGCAAAATCCCGGGACGAGTACGAAATCCACAGGATATCCTACAATATACCGTAATGTCCCGGGATTTGTAAGTTAACCTCAGGATATCCTGTAAAGTCCCGGGATATGTACGAATGCCATAGGATATCCCAGAATGTCCCATGACATCCCGGGACATGTACAAAATCCACTGGATATCCTGTAATGTACCGTAATGTCCCGGGAACAAACTGAAGAAAAAAAATACTACCACTGATGAAATGTACAGTATATCTAAATTTAAATGTTCAACAAGGCCAATATATAATAATTTGTTTTTTTCACTGGTGCTTTCAGAAACTTGGTTTCCATCTTCAGGCTGTGTTTACACTAGTACAAAAAGTAAATATTTACTTAATAAATTAATTTTAAACAAAGTTAAAACAGATGATTTAAAGGATATTGGAAAAATAAAAAATAATATTAGAAAAATTAATCTTTTGAATTTTGGATATGTTACAGTGTTGTTCTTGATGTAATTATTTTCAGTAATTCCGAATTTATAATTGGGCCGTCTTCATTATTTAACAAATAATTTTGGTCTGTTTTTTTTCTAAAAATAAGATTCCCACGCATTAAGATGTTGAGGTTTTATAATTTATTTTAAAAGTTTAAGGTTTCCCAGATTGAAAATATGTCTTGTTAATACTATGGCTAGCAAGGGTTGACTTTACTTTACTGACATATTACTACCACTGAGTTCAGGAAAACTAGAGTTGTATCATAGTTGTGTGAAATGTGAATTTAATTATAACTTTAAATTAATAAAACAAAAAAAAACTAATTTTAATCATATAACAATCAATTATTACAGTGCTAATCTAATGGTGATTAAATAATCTATATTCAAATACCAGTATCCTCTCCAACTACCAGAAAAACAATTCAACTACTTGAGGTCTAAACAGAATCATATATAGCCTATACTGTAGTATCAAAAATATTTTAAGTATTGCGACCATTGCAACTGTCAGCTACTCTTTAACCACTTGAAAACACCCATAATCAACAAGCGCAGATAGCTCAGGAGGTAAGGTAAGAGGCTCACAAGGCGAAGGTACCAGGTTCGAAACCCGTCTGGGCCAAAAACTTTTTTCTCGTTTTTTTCTTCAAAATTTGTGTTTATTAACTATTTAATCAATTTACTAAACTTATAATTAAGCTTTTCATACTAAATCTATATTATATTGTGTTTTTTATGTTCAGGCCCAGACCACACTTTATCCCAGGGACATCCCATAGTAGTCCCATATGTCCTGAGAATGTCCTGAGGACTACCCTGGGATGACCTCGGATGTCCCATGGATATGCGTGTGAGCTTATCCGTAGGACATCCCCGGGCGGGGACATTAGGCATTCCTGTGGATATCCTGTGATATCCCAAGTTGACCATAGGACCACTATGGGATATCTTGCATATCCTGTCGCAATATCCGTGGGATGTCCTGAGGAGAAAGTGTGCTGTCTGGGCAATTCGATATTTTCAATTGTTAATCATTAACCTATTTGTTGGGGGGGTTAAACTTTAAGCGGCACTCTTGCCCCAAGTTCCTATGCTTGTTCTTAGAATTCCACCACAGATCACTGAAGTGGCTCCTCCATACCACTAATGGAACATATACAAAAGGTTGGGAAACACTAAGTGTACACTTGTTATGTTTTTTAACCTGAATATTGCTAGGTTGATTATATTGAGGGTATACAGGGTGATTGGTACTCAGTGTGACAAACATTTTTTGGTGTAAGTACAAAGTAAATGCAGTGTGATGATGCATATAAAAGGTTCCAAGTCTAAAAATGAGCTTCCCAAAGAATTATTTTATGTTTTTCAAAAATAACGATGTTTTTTTTAAACTTAATACAGCTATTTCTCAATTACCTGTGAATGGATTTGGGTAGATAATGTCATTTTCCTGTTCTACATTAAATTTTGAATAAGAATAACAGAAAATAACAGGGGATCAGTTGTAAAAACTCCATTGTAAATAGATTCAAAGATAAAAATTAAGATGTTTGATAAAAATTTAAAAAACATTGGTCTATTGCATTTTCTCACACCCTGTATACAAGAAAGTGTCCGAATATGTTAAAAACTTTGCCACTTTATAAGCTTCCAACGATATGCTACACTAATTGAGGTTTAGATTTTCTTTTGTTTGTTTTAGTGGTTTGAATACCAGAAATAAGGGAACTTTTTAATGTTTTTACTGTTCAAGCTGAAACAAAAATACAACTTTTGCTTGATAAATGCCGACTTTCTATGTTTTAAACGTTAAAGACACCATGTTTTGTAGTCTTCAAACCAGTAAAGCGTACATATGAAGACATAAAGCTCAATGGTGTAGCGTGGAAAGCTTATAAAATGGCACTGTTTTTACCATATTCGGAAACTTTCTTGTATACAGGGTGTGAACAAATGCAATAGATCAAATTATCAAATTAGTATTTTAAATTTTTATCAAACATCTTAATTTTTATCTTTGAATCTATTTACAATGGAGTTTTTACAACTGACCCCCTGTCATTTTATATTATTTTTATTCAAAATTTAATGTAGAACACAAAAATGACATTATCTACTCAAATCCATTTACAGGTAATTGGGAAATAGCTGTATTCAGTTTAAAAACATAGTTATTTTTGAAAAACATAAAATAATTCTTTGAAAAGCTAATTTTTAGACTTGGAACTTTTTATATGCATCATCACAGGCACTGCATTTACTTTGTACTTACACCAAAAAATGTTTGTCATATTGAGTACCAATGTATTAGAGATGGCTATGGTACCAATCACCCTGTCATGCTTCCACAATCAAACGAAGTTAAGTACCTTGGTATGCATCTCGATAGAAGACTTACATGACATTCTCACATTTGGAACAAAATATTTCATTTAAATTTTAAAACAAACAAACTAGATTGGCTTATTGGTCGAAATTCAAAATATCTGTTGAAAACAAATTACTTTTACCTCTTCAAACTCAAATATAGAAATAATTCAAAGATTTCAATCTAAAACACTAAGAAAAATTTTACAAGCACCTTGGTATGTGTCTAATAAAGTTATTCAACAAGATACAAAATTACCATTTATCAGAGAAGAAATAAAGAAACGAAGCGAAAAATATCAAAGAAAATTAGAAAATCATCTAAATTTCCAGGCAGTCAACCTCATCGATAATAGGGAAGTGTGACCTAAGCACTCGGGGCTCGCGCCATTTCTGGCATTCAATTTCTTTATGACCTAGACTGCATCTCGGTCAAGCTTTAGCTTCTTTGTGTGGAGAATACCCTGGACGAATTGTGACATTATTGTACCAGTATAGAACAGATTGTAAATGAAATAGGTACTTGTAAAAAAAAAAAAATAATAAAAAAATTATTTGACAGTATGCTTGTTTACATTTAAACTTTGTGAGATTGTGCTTTGTTACCATGGAGACCAATCAATATTTACTTTTAAATCCCTCGCCTCAGAATTTTGAAAGCCGGCGGGGCAGAGTCCTAGGTCAATATCGATGGGGTAATAGTGCTATATTTATCTTCGGAGCGGTAACTTTATTTTTGTTGAGTTTAGCCCAATCAGTTTAGTAGTTTTTGAGTTTAGCTCATACAAACGCACAGATAGATAGATTAATTGATGGTAAGGTATTATTGGTATTAATAAACCTAGACTCCTAGATCATAAACCTAGATGATGGACCTTCGGGTCTGAAATTCATTTTGGATCAACAAAATAGGATTGCTAAGGTAAGACCTTACTATCAATTAATTAACATATGGAATCTTGGTGAAATTTTTAAAAATTAAGAAGGCTAACACAAGAATCAGTGCATTACTTACGAACTTGCATTTCGCTGGAGACCCAAATCTGTTATCTGAACTCCCTTAGGAGTGGACGTGGTTCCACTGGTGAACAACACCAAAACTACCTTCTTTTTGATATCCGTTACTTCATAAACAGAGAATTTACCACTGGATGAAAGTAAGGTTTTCATAATGGAATGATTGACATCGATTGTGGCAACCAAAATTGGTTTTGGATTCATTTCTGTTATTGATTGATCCACTACTTGTACATCTGTAGTGTCACAGAAAATTGCCTTTATGTAGTGTTTAGAGGTGTACTTGTGAATCTCACTGGCAGCTGAAATCATAATTAGTTGATGTTTGAATGATAAACTTGCGGACATTAAAAAAATCTTGTAAATTTCTAGGAAGTTAATGATGAACTTCAGTAATGGTCAATGGAGTAATTAGTGCCAAATAGGCTTTAAGCGGTTTTGAGCAATTTCCCCTTGTTCCCCTTGTTGGTGTGTTTCTTTTTGAATTAATTCGTACAATGGTTTTGGCTGTTCCACTATTTTGCATGAGACTGGGACTGGGAGTGCATCTGTGAACTTATTAGTGCACTGGACCAGTTTTTGCTGAGCAATTGTATAAGTAATTATGTAAATTCACCAGACCCCCACGCCATCAGAAAATTCTAATATTAAACTAGAACAATAACTGCACTGATTATTTTCAACTCACATGTTATATGAATCAAGACTGGAATGGCCCCAGTAAACATGACACCCAGTTCAACGGCAAAGGCGAGACAACTTTTTCTGCAACAAAGCACAACATAGTCTCCTGGGGAGATGCCAGTTTGTCTGAGTCCTGTGGAGATTGCCTTGCTTTGTGCAAGGATATCAGCAAAAGTGAATTTCTTTCCCGTAGAATCTTCAATCTGTAAGATCGAGATACAATCTATAGATGTTTATGTAATCTAAATGGATCTAGATGGCTCTCAGATTGAGATGGCTCACACCAACCTCCTGACAACACTAAATAAATAGCCAATTTACACGATTCATCACAAAAATGTGAACTTTACTAACTCAAATAAATTGTTACTAGGAGGGACATATACTTAGACCAAAGATGAAGTAATACAAAACAAAGACTGTGAATGTACCGTGTATATAAATCTCAAAGATTAAACATTAGTAGTAAGTAAAATAAAATTATTGCAATAAAATAACAATTACAAAAAAGATTATTTGATAAATTAATCTTGTAGCTTACTCTTGTCATAAAAATTATATTGTTTTTTGGCAATACTTCTAATTCATTAGGTAGTATTGTTCCCTCTGGCATAATTTCTACAAACAGGGAAGTGAAGTGTAATATTTACTTTTACGATTTGATTAAAATTGAATGCTCTGTTGTCAGACAATTTTTTTACAATTTTTACTTTCTCCCCCTATACATAGTAGCCTATATGGAGAAAGTATTGTTTTCATAAACATTTTCGAGCTAGAGTTTCGAGTGGATATATCCGTTTTTGGGTCACTTTTTCCCTCTATACCATTTTTTTCATTTTTTTACCATTTTTACTTTCTCCCCCTATACATAGTATATGGAGAAAGTATTGGTTTCGTCAAAATTTTCAAGTTTGAGTTTTGAGTGGATATATCCATTTTGGGTCCCCTGAACCCAAAGAAGTTGTTTTTGAAGTGATGTCTGTGTGTGTGTGTGTGTGTGCGGATATGTACAGATCTACTGACCACACCTGTCGTCCGATTTTGATGAAATTTGGCATGTATGTACTGATTCATTATATCTCCAGGCGATTTTTTTCTTTCAACATTTTTATTTTTAATGGTGATTATTCTATACACATAAAATAACCGAAAAATCGCATTTTCTCTAAAACGGCCTGAACGATTTCGATAAAAAAATTAGTATGTTATAGTCCTTTAAATTCTGAACAAAATTGTAAAAATTCCACCGCCGTAAAAAATAACTGTTCCAAAATTTATTGTAACTTATGTTACTTACCATAAAAAAAAACAGAAAATAACAAAATATGGGGTTTTAGGGAAAAGGCGGGTTTTTATTAAATTTAATGTGTTATGGTCCTTATAATTCTAAACAAAAATAGTGCAATTGCTGTAACAATTACGGCTCAAAAGCTATTGCAGCTTTTGTGACCTATCCCTGTAGAATATTATTACCTAACCTATAATATTGTTACCTACTCCCACCATGATAAAGGTTGTATACAAGTTGTAAACAACCTTTATCTTACAAGCTTATTTAAGAGAAAGTATGTGTCAGTTTGCTGATAATGTTTATTACTTTTTTGTCTCATTGGTGTCTTAGCTAAGGTTTACTATTGAGGAAAATAGAATGGTTTATTATTTTGCTAAATTGAACGACTACCGTAGGCTACCTACATTTATTTTTATTCAGCCTTTGTTATGTTTTCTTTTCTTTTTTGTCATACTCCAGCAAAAATTGTTGTTTTTAGTACATGCATTCGGGTCTAGTGTAGCTCTTTTTCTACCGAGGGAAAAAAATTAAAAAAGGAGGGTAAAAGTAATAAGAATAAGTATAAAAATAAGTAATGAAAAGTAATAGGGCAATAGTAGTTTACGCAACTTTAAAAACTTCTACGAGTGTCGTAAATGTCCTAGAATTGTCCTAAAATGTGTAAAATGTCCTAAATGCCGTAAAATTAACGCGAGTTGCGTACACTACTTTACCTAGGACCGTTTTTTAATTACTAAAAATCTGGGTTTTTATTACTAACAATCACTACTCATAACTTCCTAGAGAGGTTATGTTTTCGTTTTATTGTCATTGTCACTGAAAGTGATGCACCGACTTATTGTATAATCAGCTGATTTCATGTAATTACGTGTTTGTAAAACTTTGTTAAATAATAGTTACTTTTTCAGGCAATAGGTTCTGCTAGCAGCATTCTTACCATAAATACTGTATCAGGTACAATTAGGGAAATATTGCATATATTTTTGGACAACTGAATAATATGGTGAAACAGTTAATTTACAGTTAGATATCAGCATCGAATATGTGGTCCACAACGAGTTGGGTGAAAAAGTGGTTAAAAGGTTCTCAAAATAAACCAGAAGAACATTTTCATTTATCAATTTAACCTTATTTTGTTTTGTTCATTTAATGAATTGCTGGTATGTAATTGCATATGGTACATTTGTTTTGATTTTGGTGGCAAAAGATTAGCACAAACAGTTTGAGCTCTCATTTCTATCTCGTCAACATCACTTTCACTAACTGATATTTTAAAATCAACCTTCATTGTTCATTTAACTTCCACCAACTTAGGTTAAGAATACGAGTATCAACAGGAACAAGCCGGATCAACAATTAAAATTCTCAACTGATCAGCTCAGCTGATTTTCGAAGTATTACAATTGTACTTCTTTTCTCTCAATCCTTGAACCTCATTGGTCCGTTACCCGTGTTGATATGAGAAAAACTATGCTGATATGAAATGAAACTATGCTAATATGAAAGTAAACAGCTGTTAAGTGAACTTTTCAATTCTAAGAACTGAACTGACATGGCTACTTTAAAAAACGGTCGTAGGTAAAAAAGTTTAGGACACAGAGCTGTATATTTTTCCAACTCTTATATATTGATTTAAATTTATTGAGATTATTGAGATAATGCTTCAAATGAGAAGTCTACACTTTAAAAATCCAATGGGTTAGCGTCCATTATAAAGTAATTTACCTACCGTAAATGTGTAGTGTATGCGTGTGTTGTCCTTAAATATTTATTTTCAAATGTTAAATTTGACATGTAAAGATGAGAAAATGTCTTTGAGTCACCTAAAATGGCCCCTAACCCAAATTAGTTTGCTTCTGCAATTGTATGGATTTTGTATTAGCAGGTATACACCTTTTTTAATTCAAATGAAATCTTAACTCCTTGCCCCTTTATTTATATCCTTGAAGATTATGTTTAATTAATTTGTATTAAGATTAAGTTTATGAGTTTCAGATTGTCTGAGCTTTGATAGTTTCAGTTGAGCGGAGCAATCATGTTTCATGGTTTTTAATAAAGCAATAAATTAAAAAATGTTTGTAGATATAATCAAAATACAAATGTTCCCACACTCTGCACTGCTAGCCTTTACTACTTCGTGGAACTTTTTCCTTTCCTTCCCATAGCATTTTAGTATTTTAGATACATTAATCTAACTGCCCCAAAGCGTTCCCACAATCCGCACTGCTAGCCTTTACTCCCTGCTTCACCACTTCCTACATCGTGGACCTGTTTCCCTCCATTCCCATAGAATATTAGGATTGCAGATACTTTAATCTAACTGCTCCAAAGTTCAATTCAATTCAAAAGTGTTCCCTTATTCCGCACTGCTATAGCCTTTACTAATTCCTTTACCATTTCCTACCTCGTGGACCTGTTTCCCTCCCTTCCAATAGCATTTTAATATTTGAGATACATTAATCTAACTGCCCCAAAGCGTTCCCACACTCTGTACTGTTCGCCTTTACTACTTCCTTCAACACTTCCTATGTCTTGGACCTGTTTCCCTCCCTTACCATAGGTTTTTAGGATTGCAGATACATTAATATAACTGCCACAAATGGTTCCCACACTCCGCACTGCCAGCCTTTACTACTTCCTTCACAACGTCATGGACTTGTTTCCCCCCTTCCCATAGCATTTTGGTATTTTACATACAATTATCTAAATGCCACAAACTTTTCCCACACTCCGCACTACTCACCTGTATTACGTCCTTTCCTTCATCACTCCCTATTAGCTATGTAAATCAAATCTGTTACATACCGTACTGTATCTAAAAAAATATGTTTTACCTATGAATCTACCTATTCGATCAGTGGTCTTTCCAAACTGCAACTTAAATGTAAACTTAAGACTTTTCAGTGAATTATTTTATCAGTGGTCATCATCCGAATTTTTCCTTTATTACTGTGTTTGGGTCATGGCTTGGTGCTATGATTCTTTGTTTTGTTTACATTAACGTTGTTATTTTTTAACCAACATTGCAATCCAAGGTCAATTTTAAATATTAAAAACTTTGAGTTACTTTAAAGTTTAAAATTATATAGGCATTATCAAAAATTGAAATTGGTTACGTGTAAACCATTTAAACATTTGACAAAACAACCTTAAGTTAAAATATGTTCAGCCGTAATTGGGATTAAGAATTATAAAGATTGCATTGAAGTTGATCCCAAAGAGCTTCGCTTCGCTCCACTCAAAAATTTTCCTAGAGTGCTGCCAGTTGCCTACCATAACTCTTTTCTTTGATTAAATTTATGTAATACAGTATCCACAAAAATCAACCTTGATAATTCCATTCAAAACTTACTTGTGTTTTGTTTTGTGAAGTAATTAATTGTGTACCGTCGTATATGAAAGAATAAAGATTTAGATTTTTCTGAACATGGTAATAAAAAATTGTATTATTTTGATCCCTTAAGCTTATCAGGTAGTGAAAGTTAAGCTAAAGTATTATTACTAAAGTACTAAATGCATTGTTTAGGAATTAAACTGAACCCCCTCAGCACAATAAACATAATACAGTAATACTGAATTGAAAATATTTGGCCTTAAGAAGTGTTTTTTAACTGATTTAGACAATTCAAACGGTGCTAGTTTTGTGACTGGAGTTTTCTATCTTATTTTAAGAGAGAAAACTATTTTTTTTAAGTTATAGTTTTGTTAAAATTGACACTTCTCCTCTCCAAAGGTTTCCAGAAGAAAGTAGTAAAATCAGCGACATAACTAGAATTTCCGACATGAAATATTGGCATTAAAGGGAGAAAAACAGTGGCTAATACAGTTTTATTTAGGACTATTTGTACTTTTTTTAAATTAAAACTTCAATTAAATTAAGCTTTCAAATATTACCTACCACCATACCTGAGCTACTCTGTTTGCATTGCATTCCATTCCTTCTAACATCAATTTGAGAACCGATGTTTCAAAGGAAAAAGAAGGGATTGCCTCATTTATATTGGCACCTTTCAAATGCATTTCAGCTGAGAATCACTACAAATAACGGAAGCAGAAGAAACACTCTCACCAACACAACTAAAGTGGGACTGCTGGAAGTCTGCAACTCGCTTCAGATAGAATCAGGTTGTTGTGTGGGTGGTGACTACTCTTATCACACAGCCTTGGTGAAGTGTTTTAGATATGAATGTGTTCCAATGGTCCCCATTAAATTGAGTAAGAAACCACATTTATTTTTAAGTTATTTCAATGACTTCTTAATTATTGGAAAGTAAGAAGAGGATTTAGTAAAAATTGAATGTTAAGTATGTTATATTTACATTTAAAATGAACAAACTTATTACTAAAAAACAAATTTTAACGTTTTTTTAAGGTCCATACTGGATATGGTGTACCCAAAGGGCAAAATTACTGATAGTTATTATTGTATGGCTCTTCATAAAGAAATAAATTTAATTCAGGCAGCTATCTTTATCTTTAAACAAAATTTCTTTATTTGTCAGAACCTTCAGCTGAAGGGTGGCTTCGAACTAGTTGAGAGCAGGAAGCAATGGTTTTATACAGTACTAGGGACGACGAGAGTCTGCAGTTGGAGTCAGCCAGTACCAAGACTTGACTAGCGCGAAGTTGCAACATTACTCGTTCACTGCTTTTTAACACTCATTAAAATATACTAAACAATATTTTCAAATCAGCTGGTATTATTAGAATTGGCAACACCGCACTGTCCTCATTGGCTGCTTTGAAGTCACATAGTAAATAGCCTCCTCCCTGCAGACTCTCATGGACCGTACTGTAGCTTACAATTGAGTTCAGTTAAAGAAGTTGTTCTTTACCAAATTGCCCATGTAGGGAATAAGTTATTACCATAGGTCTCATAGTAAGCTTTAGACTCAGGGCAGGACCAATTTACTTTTTCATTTTGATGTTCCCAGAGGCAAAACACCATTAGGTCTCTCAGAAATAATTAGATTTAGAGAAAACATTAAGTCGAGAGCTTGAATTCAATTACTTTTTTATGCTGCCATTTTCCAAAATTTCCGCCTTAATATTTCTTACGGAACACCTTTTCTTATCATTGTTTTATAATAAAAAAATAAAAAATGCTACATACAATTTACGTTTATTAAAGGGCAATAAACATGAAATTGAACTGTGATAGGGTAATAAAAGACAAAAGGTAAATGAAAGTACAGTTTTATGTATATAAAACACCGTCCTTAAATTAATGAAGCTTTATATTACACTGGCAGCACACGTTATATACAACTATAATAAACTGGCCAAGTATACACAGTTCTGGGGTTTAGAAATCAGACAAACCTAACAATTCATTACTTACATCGCTTCAAGATCACTTCTAAAACTACAGTTGAAAGCTTTTTTTAAAATAACTAGCCCTGCGATAAAAAATCTGCCTTTTAGTAAGAAATAGTAATTGATCAAACTCAGTACTTTACAGTAAACAAAAGGTTTATTTACAATGGTGTTCCATTTAAATTGACTATACCTCAATTTCACAATTGGTAAAGAAAGATATTTTACAAAAACTATTTATTAGTATAAGTTGAATTAACTAGATAGAAAATAATTTGTGAAGAAAATGTTAACTCCTAAACTATTCTAGTGCAAGCCTTTTCCTTTTTGTATTCACTCTTTTTTTAAATTTGTATTCACTAATTGCATAATCCTGTCTTTGATAACATAGGAAGTAGTTATAGCACTTTTATAGCTTATAAATCATAGCATCAATGAAATGCCCGATAAGGAATCTTAGATATAAAAATAGAGTTCAAATATATCAAATCAGGCATAGCCCACAAAGGAGTTAATGACACTTAGTGTACAAAAATAATCAGTTTTTGTCCAGTCTCTAGCATTCTTCGTAAAAAGTTAGTTTGCATCACCGTTTTACGTTACAGGACTTAAGTTGGAATAACTCTTTCCTTACTCGCTACTTCACAGAATTGAATGGAAAATGGACAAAATTAAAGAATTAATACCTGGTGTACAATCAAATTAGACACTAACAAATTCCTTGAGTGAGAAAGAGATAGTGAGAAACATGGGCTTAACCATTGAACAACAAACACCACAACAAACCACAAGTCGTACACTTCATCTTACTAAAGAAACTGATTTACTTAATAAGCTGAAAACACATCATTTTCTGTGTCAGGCTTTGACAGTCGATTCCTCAAGGTGGTAGATTCTGGTTTTCAGGTGACTGCCGAAGACATCCAAGACGTTGGCAACTACTTCATCCTTGTCACCTGAATACCAGAATCTACCACCTGTAAATACTTCAATTTACATAAAAAATAAACCCTAGACAAATTCTACAATCAGTATGAAATCTGTAAAAACAAAAATATCACTGACATTAATAAAAAAGTAGTTCGCCAAATACATATACAATTTTAAAGTGATATTTTTTAAAGTAATAATGAATTGAATACCAAATCTTGGTATGATACAACTTCTTTACAGTCTAGATACTAGTCATCAATCTTAACCATTTAATATACAAAAATTGCAGGCCTATACAAAAGTCGGTGTGAATTAACAAACTATTTTAAACAGAAACCTTTCTATATGACACTAAGGGTTTTATCAGACACAAATGGCACTACATTAGTTATGTTCAATAATTATGCTTACTAGTTGATATTTAATTGAAAAACACAAATCTTCATTATACAACTGTTAGGCTTAATCAAAAAAAAAATCATAGTCTTTATTATTTTAAAGAGTTATATGAATTTAGTAATATTCTAAAACATAAAGTATAAGAACAAATGATGAATGAATTATGACTTAGCAATAAAATTCTGTAAACCATACTTAGTTTTAACAACAAAAAACTATGTTGACAGCTTGTCAGGTTTTCTCTGTTAAATCATTTATTCCTATGCCTATTTTAAGAGAGCAGAGTTGCATAAGAAATTCTGCAGCTGTGTTTTAAACATAAAAATCAATGTATAACCTTGTAAAAAACCTAATGTACTGACTGGTATGTTTAAGTCACTTTAAGAAACCTCACCAGTTCTTGTGTAATATCAATATGTCATCATTAATTCAATAACTAAAATTAATTCTATGATTTTAAATGTTGGACACTATGAATGGATTTCTTTGGCATCAGCAAGTTTTGAATTTGCTTATCACATAATCTCAAAATTTCTCAGATTACTAGAACAATCAAACAAAAAATTTCTTTAAAATAAAAAATTACATCTCCTCAAATCAGTTTAACTGAAAGCTTTTGTTTAACAAACCTAAAATCCTTTGAAACAAGAATTTCCCTTATAACAAGTATCCCTTGGAACAACCTTACAGCCCAGCATGAATATCATTTACGCTTAAGAGTTCTTTATGAAGGTTCTGATGTATTTATTAATTAACATAAACTGAAACTCATCCCAGTAATTGTAAAAAAAGAGATTATAATATTAATAAATTAAAATAAATTGACTAATTATTTAAAATAACATATATTAGAAACCTATATACAAAATTATGATTTAAAGCTGGGAAATAATAAAATGACAAGCATAACTTATCCTTAACCCTATAATATATTATTCTTTATAAATTAGTAAAACAAACAATAAATAATAATGTATCACATACATCAATAAGACAAAAACTGTACAAAACCTATGTTGAGAAAATCTTCTACAGTCTGTTTAACTAGTAATGTTAAGTTTTACAAAGACTTCGGTTTATTCAAATTCTCTGCTGTTTTATTTTACATTTAAAAATTCACGTCACTACAATGCTAAATGCCACAACGTATTAGCACATCAGAGACATATCTGAAGCAGGTTTTGCGGCTGTATAAAAATAACACTAACACTGTTGACACACAGTTGAGTTATCATTTCGGAAGGCGTAGTCTGTATTAAAGCTGACAGCCTGTCAAAAATGACAGTTATATGCAGGAGCTCTTTTGAAAAAGGTATACAAAACATACTTATTAACAGCAATTAAAAAAAAAACATTTCATTAGGAACTATGTTAAACATTGAAGAAATTTAAATGTAGTTTTGTAATTACCAAATTTAATTTGGAATACAACACAATTCAAACGTGTGGATCATTTTTTGCTTTTAACACATTAACATTTTTTTGGTTTAAGCAGCAACACATACCTAACACAACCAAGAAAATGTAGCAGCAAAGTTGAATTTTTTAAATTTAATTTTTTTGTTTTAAATTTAATTTCTCAGTATTGTAGGTATTGTGTTATGATGAACCTTGAACCTATAACAATTTTCGATAAATAAAATAATTCTTCTCATCTATTTTTAATCAATTGAATACTTCAAGTACTTTGTCATTATTTAACCTATTATCTACTATCCCTATTTTGTTATAAATATAAAACGAAGATTCTTTCAAAAACTACAGCTTCTTTAAATAGTCCCATGAGACAAAACCATCAATATAAAATCAATCAGTCGATTTGCTTCACATAGCAGGATTAGTTAATTATAATTAGCACGATGAGCGAGTGAACTCACCAATCAACAAACAAGATAATTTGTTACTGTCATATTTAGATAACAAAACTGTAATGTTCCAACTAAAGTGCTTTACTCAGAGTCCTCGCTGTGGCCGTTGTCGAAGGCTGACAGGTCAGGCTGTGAGATGAGTCCTTTACTGAGTGCGTACTCTATGAGCGCTAGGTGACAGAAGATGTACTGGTCTGGCATCTGTATGGAGAACGCTCTCTGAGACCTTATCCGCTCCACGGCTCCCCGCACGTCCACCGTCCCTGTCTCCTCCAGTCGTGAGATACAGATGTCTAGAGTACAGAATGTACCTGCGCAACAGCAGGGCAAAATATTAGTATTCTGTTGAATAAAGTTGCATGTGTGTGTGCTAAATAAAAAAAAAAAAATACCAGCTGAAATTTTGTCACTCCCTAAAACCTACTTTGTTGATTTGTTGGTAACTATTGGAAAACGTTCTTAAAAACAAGTATTGTTACATGTTATTTAAGGGTTATTGGAAACAATTTTCAACAGTAGTTCCATTGACCATTACTAAAACAGGTGATTCACAACGCTTTG